AGCTTACTTCCTTATTTCACTACCACTTATACTATTACTGTTACATAAAATAATAAAGAATTTACCTTGTAAGTTATTAATTTATATTCATACTGTGAATTTTAAATAAATTAATTTCATTGAAACTATGTTTCCTAATATTTTTTTTGGATTTAGACTAAATACAGTAATACACGCTGATAATTTACGTTAATAGTAAATATTTAGTTTCCTACATAACTAAAATTGGTGTTGTATCTAGAAAGTTGTTTTCTTGATATACCGCGTATAACTGAGCACTAGAACGCCAAAACCCTTCCAAGTCTCAATGAGAAGACAGAAGACTAATGAAAAGAATATTATTCTAAACAGTGTCAATTATAGTACAAAATTGTTAGGTATTTATAGTTTTTAGTAAGAACGAAATCATCACTACAGTCCTCCAATCCGCATACAGAGGGTTATTAGCATTGTCCAATCGGGAAGCTACACGTAGGAATTCTTGATTATTCTTCCAAAAGGTGATTGGATGGAATATCTTCGGCTCCTCCTGAGCCTCTTACAGCTTCCTCGAGTTCATCCGTGGTCCATCGTCACAATTGGGTCTATATATCTATCAATCTCTTGTTGTTTGCCACATGAATTGTTTTAACATAATTCCAGTGTAATTGGCTTGATGTTTTATTTTATATTGATAAATTCTAATTGTATTACAAAAATAATCACGGATTCATTAACAACTCAATAAAAGCGTAAATATTAGTTGCACTTGGTATGTATTTACATTATTTGTAATATTATCATCCAAATAGATGATAATGTAATTCAATGCAATTTAGGAAATTAAACTATATGGATAGACAGCATATAAATGTATAGATAAATAAATAAATAGATTGGTTCAGCGTTAGTCATTTGGATAATAATCCTTTTTTTAAGAAATAACCAAGGAAATTAAAGTATGATGCATTCATTTGCCACATAGTCTTGTTTTATCATATGGAATGTGTAGAAATGGAAAGTGTAGACTTGTAAATCCATGATATTATGTAATTCACTTCAAGTGAGCGTAGTTGACTGATCTGGTTAATTATCTGATATTAAGTAGGACTAAGCCTAATTTAGAAATCTTTTTTCGATTTATTAACTTCCTTGGGTTAGTTATTATCATATTTCCAATCATAATCATTTCAGTTCATGAATCTGCTTTTTTTCCTTCTCATCACTGGAGTTCTGTGAAATGAACAAAATCTTAAACTAATTATTTTTTACCATTATTCTCACTTGATTAAGTCTAAAAGAATAAAAGGAACAAAATTGTAACATTTCATCTTGTCACATTTGACAAACAATATAACAGTTGCGAATTAATTTGAATGGATTGTTTGATAGAATGTGGGCCCCCCCTGCAAAAAAGCTTCAAGTTCGTTCTCCTAACTATCACTAGCTAACCAGTGTAAAATAAAATCCACAGCTTAGTTGATTCACTTATTTTAATAAGGACAATATGAAAGTCATTTATGACATTGAGTCGAAACTCAGTGGTAAATAACGTAACTTATTAATCGTTTTTCTGTGTGGCACCTACGTTGTTGCATCAGGAAAGATTTTAGACTAATGCAATCGTTGGATGCCCCCAAATGCCCTGGTACGGCCGAGAGTGGGGAGAGTCCGCTCTCCCTCTCGAAATACTCTCACACGGCCACGCGTATATAGCCTCTGCCAGGGAAGTCCTACTCACTGCCTTCTCGTGGCGGGGGTGTTGTTTACGAAAATGAGAGGACGAAAAGCGAATTTCCGGCGCTTTAACCGGATCCCAAACCAATGGTGCACATGGGCTCCTGTATCCTGAAGGAACAAATGGCGTATGAACCAATCGTTGGTCAACGGCTACCATGGGACTGCATCTCCTCACGATGCTCCACTGCCTTGTGGGTTAGACCTTTAGGTCAAAGGCTCGGGGTGTGGCCCCCTAAGAAAACCACCTGCTTCGGTTTGGGCACCCGGGCAGTATCACAGCCCTCACACAAATCAATTGAGATTCGTGTGGCGCATATGTATTTGGTGCCTCCCTGTACCTATACTTATGTGTTAAAATAATAATAATAATAAATAATCGTTGGATACAAAGTTAATTAGACAACTTAAACCAAGTATTTAAAACAGATAGGATATTCTATAGTCAGTAGAATCATACTTAGAGTAGGTTCAGTCTTTAATAATCTATCATAATTGGATATCGAAATCTCTAAACTTAGTTAAGTTGATCAAATAGCTTTTGATCTCATGACTGATAGGAATCACCTTACAACAGTACTTTTTTAATTTGCATTCTAAAGTTCGTAAATGACCCGACTTTTTGAACGTCTTATAAAATATGCACTAAAACAACGTGTTATCCTAAGAACAATCATATTCTGAAATTAGTATTTGAAGTAATCTTGTTGTGTGAAAATTATACTTAAAATGTGACTTATTTAGCTGTAAATTCCAATCAGTGTGAACTGCTATTATTAGTGTCACGTAATCTATTGTACGATCTATGAACCGAGATAGATAAAAGATAACAGTGTCCTGTCTAGGTTCATTCTGGGACTCGCACCCGTTAACATTCTCTTCAAACGTGATCGCGCTATCCACTTGGCTACTGAGCCTAGATATCTTAGTTAATTTTTATGCGTTGATTTATTTCTGTAATTGATCAGTTTCTTTTGTTATATATTTACCCTGTGAAGATTGCCTCGATATTCCCAATAAGTAACAAGCATTGCAAGTAGAGATGGATAGTAACAGTGAGATCCGGGACGCTCCTTCCGTCCTACTTGGGGTTCCTCAGATAGATATACCTGCAATATCCAGGCCGTCAACACAGATGCCAAGAGACCGTTCAATTGTACTCCTAAACGTCAATGAGAAATTTTAAACAGCCTATATATATATATATATTGTCTGGTCTGTTATCTGGTTCTCAATTACTGATCGTAAATCGTATATCGTAACATAATGTGGAGAACTTTTATCTAATGTATCGAGTCTTAGTTTTATTCCATTACTGTTAAAGTCCTGAAAACGAGAAAAAATATTTTCTTCGTTTACATCAAATCTATAAACAAACTGAATCTTTCGACTATTGAGGACTCATGGTTTGTACCTTTTTTCCCTGAATTATTACCTGTTATTCCTAATCATCTCTAACACTACTGATACGGTTACGTATATTATTCTATACTAACGTGATGTGGCAACTTCAACTGATGCACATGTGCACCAGTTATGTTACATATGACTGAGAGCTTCCTTCAAACAATCGGATATAAGAGTAGATTGTTTAGATCAAATTCTAAACTAAAATTGGTCACATAAGTCCTTTTTATTTTAATCGATTTCCGTTATAAGTGCTTTGAAATCGATTTTCCATGGTTATCTAAATTAATATTAAAGTACAAAACTATATAAGTATATACCATATGAACACATCACCTATTAGGAAATATTTATTGAGCATGATCCGATTATTACAAACAACAGCCAAATATATGTTTGCAAGTGTGTACTACACATGTTATCATAAACTTGGCTGAAAAAGTAGGATTTTACCGACTTCAGTTTGCATTAATACTAAAATCGTGTTTGACAATACGTTCACATTAATAACTGTCTATTTCGTACATTGTCAACTCACAGTTACAGTGTCTGCAGATAGACATCATCAACTAGGGCCCTGGCATAAGTATGTGTTGGGCCAAGTTGCCACACCGAATTACCATGAGATGTGCGTAAATTATGCATAACTATGTAAGTTCCAAATTGAATTATTCACAAGTCAAATTAGAAAACATTATATAATAATGGGAAATTATTGGACCAATACAAACGATAAATACAATCTTTACACAAGCTTTCTTCAGTTGGACATTAACACATATATGCTTATGCGAAATTGTTATTGAATGCCTTGTGTAATCTTAGTTTTTTTCGGATGTTATTTCAATGTCTATATTTTTCAAGTTATCGAACTATTTCCTATTATAAAACATTGATTCAAGCATTTGTTATTCTTATCACAAATGCTACACCTGTCATCACACTATCAATTTGTACTTTTTACTTACTGTGCTTATTTATGTAATCTATTCCACTGTTATCATTGACTCATAAACTACCTCGATTGGTTTAATAATTTCGTATATGCATATAAATATTACTGTGTATTCGATTAAAGCCTGATGAGGATCTAATTGAAAACAATATTGTCCGCTTATACTCGTTCTAATTCACAGTATGGGAATTTTTCTAAACATTAAGATCTGGTTGAAGAAGATAAATTAACCAATTTAAAGTTCAGTCTCGTTATTTTTTACTACAAAACGCTTCATGAAATTTGCATTACCTGAATACTATCATGATTTCCTCACCGCCTTTCAAATTATACTAAACTACACCAACCACGGCAATAGATTGTGTACCAACAATCATACAATGTTTATCCTACTAGTGTGATGTGTGCTACTTATGTTAACAGACATAAGTAATATGAAACACCAATCGAAAGTTGAATGTTTGACAGAAGATGGTTGAGACAAAACCAAAGAGAACGGGAACAGACAATGTTTGATGTGAAAATGGAGAAACAACAGAGTATTAGACAATTGATAGACATTTTTCAAATGGAGTATTGAACGTATGATATTTTACTAAATAACTGTGTAATTTTGTATTCGAGCACATTTGGTTGTCCTCATTTGTGTTCTCGTTCTCTACAATACAATATTTTGAAATTTCGAATGCAACTAAAACCAGAAAATGTGAAAACCGTATAGATATCAAAGAAGGCATTTGAATCCTGTAACATTCTTATTCGTTTAAGAATTATTTTTCCCATTTGTTGATCAAATAGTCAATTCTAAATAGTAGTACATGAATTTATTTTATAGAAAAGGATATGTAGTCAATCAATAAAAAAGGTAAATTTAGCAATAAAAGAATAAAACAATTATATACACAATACTCTTTTTGACAATTAATAATAATAATAATAATAATAATAATAATAATAATAATAATAATAATAATAATAATAATAATAATAGATACTGTTTAATTCACCCATCACTAATGAAAGAAAGAAGCTTAAACAATGATTATTTCATAATGTATCATGTAACAATTATTAGATAAATTAAAAATAATGTTGAAGGACAATACAATAATTCAAAATGAATCATTCACAATGATAGTCATATACTGTACAATAGGAGGAGAATTACATAAACGTTTTTAGCTCACACACACCAACATACTATTATTATTGGATTACTTATCAATAGTACTGGGAGTTGATTGAATATTAATTGCTTTTTTATTCTTTTTCGTAGATAATGCAGCTATAATCCATTTCATATTGATAAGCATCATTTTTAAAGCTTTCGTCCAATTCTCTTCAGAATTCCCATTCCATCTTAAGTGAACAGTTTAAAATTTTAAAAAATACCAATAATTTACCTTTGTTTCAATAAAGTGATATAACTCAGTTTAATGTTCTTAAACGAAAATTTCAAATGTGTTTATTGAAGAAGAATGAAAGCATTTGGTAGAAGTGTGATTTGTAGACACTTTCTTGATATCATATGGAAAGTTTGTAGCCTTATTAATTGATTGAAAAACAACTAAGCTTCAATTTCCTTTATTGCATCAATATTATACCTTTAAAGTACCTGAAAGCTGATTAGTATTTTGTAAAAGTATGCAGTTTTCGATTTTATTTTACCCTGATAGCATAAGTTTTATTTGATTATAATACATATCATCAGTCTGAGGATTTGTAGAGATAAGAGTATATTTTCAGTCTTATTCACGAGTTGATTTAAGCTAGACCACCATTGAAAACCTGAAAGCACTAGACAGCCGTTAAATTCTAGTGCGATACTACTTAGCAGTGCTCATCTAAGATCCCGCATGTGGGAATCGGACCCAGGACCTTAGGTCTCGTGCGCAAACACTTACCCTCCAGACCACTGAGTCGGCATTTAACGGTGTTAGTGTCTAACTTCAACCGATCCATGATCTTTCTCAACCATTCATTCATTGTATGAGGTAGATAACTGTCCGACATCCGACACGAACTAGACTCCGCTGATCATGGTTTCGCACTAAAACTCCAGAAGTTCCATCTTGAAGCTAGTCACTAGTGAGCACATGATTATAATCAGTATGACGATTAGTGGAGATTGCAGCATTTTTACATTTGAATTACATATTTGCAAGCTTTTCAGTCGTAGATCTATACTTTATAACGAACTGAGTTCATCTAATTATTTATTCTTTATAATCAATATCTTGTGCCCAGCTATCTATGTTGAGCAACTTTGTTCCTATAGAATATATTTAACTATATTCGTACGTTTTAATATTGAAATATTACAGTTTGAAGGCAGTTGATGTGCATGGTCACAAAATATAACTAGTTCGAGTTATTCTGCTTAAATATTTCTTCTTACCCTATCTTTTTGCGAGTTTTTTTCTTGCTCAGATATATCGACTGAAATGTAATTGAGTCTGCATGTTCAGACCTCCGTGAGTAATGCTTTCAATATTATTCTCGCTTATTACGCAACAGTTTTACGGTAGTCTCACTAGATAATATTTTGATTGATGTTAATAACATCTTTCTAAAAAACATGTACAGAACAGAACAATTAAACCGCATACATAAAGTATGTTCAAAGGAAAAAAATCCTATGAAGTATTTTGTAAAGTATGTTTTTTTATTTTAACACTAAAAGGTATATAACACGCAGTAACTTTCTCCTGCAAATGATGAAGAAAATTCAAAGCTCAGCTGGATAAAGCAGCATTTTATCCGTTGAATTGTAGATATTCTTACCAAGAAGTTAGTATTACTATTATAAGGAACATGATAGCAAACTACTTAATACCACTGGTCTCCTACCAGGAGGTCCACTTATCGACTTAGAATACGCAGATGATATAGTCCTGTTTAGTGAAGACGCTGATAAAATGCAGTCTTCTGGTTGCACTGAGCAACAATGCCAGAATGTTTGGGATGCGCTCCTCACCCTCCAAATCCAAAATGTTGCTTCAGGGATAGCCTGTGTCAACACCTGAACTAAGGATAGGGAGTGAAGTAGTCGAACGCGTTGACAACTTCACTTATCTTGGAAGTCTGATTAACCCTAACGGGTTAGTGCCTGACGAAATCTCAGCACGAATTCGAAAAGCTCGTTTGGCTTTTGCCAACTTACGTCACCTATGGCGAAGGTGAGGTATCCGTCTATCAATTAAGGGACGAGTGCAATGCGCAGCAGTTTGTTCTATTCTAATTTATGGCTGAGAAACGTGGCCATTAAGAGTAGAGGATACTCGTAAGCTACTCATCTTTCGCCACAGATGTCTTAGAAATATTGCTCGCATCTGATGGGATCATCGGGTAAGTAATAGTTAGGTTAGACGCAGGGTATTAGGGAATGATGGTAAATCAGTTGATGAGGTTATGAATCTTCATCGACTGAGATGGTTGGGCCACGTGTTGTGTATGTCTGAACACCGATTACCACGACGCGTATTGCTGACTAGTGTACAGGACGGTTGGAAGAAAGTTAGAGGCGGCCAAACCAAAACGTGGCATCAGTGGTTGAAGTCACTAACTTCCAGTTTAAGCCATGTTGGTAGATGCAGATTACTTGATTGATGTGACTATCGTAATCAATGGTTGGAGACTCTGGGTGACATGGATCAGAATTGGTCACAACTGCGTAAGTGTATACACTCTCTGTCTTCCTTTAAACTATGAGATTAAAATCGCTTTATATTGTTCTTTCTACGAACTAATTCTTTATTCCTGTACTATCTCCTTATATACAATCTTTCTTTTTGTTGGGGTATTCAGAAAATACCCCAGAAATTATCTAGTGCTATTCCTGAATGAGAAATAGCGTCATTGCCCCATTGGTCAACATTCTTCCAACGTGTTATTTCCCTATTGGTCAATATTTATTTGTGTCATTTCCTGAAGGTTAAATCTTGTACAAATGTTACTTTCTATTTTATGGTACGATGTAGTCTGTTTGATTGCTATATAAACAGAGTATATCTGAAATATAATGATTCATATCTCCGAGGCTGAGACTTGTGTTCTGGACTCAATTGGCTGGGCTAGACAGGGAAGCAGGACCAATCAGGACTCTAGGCTGTTTGCTCATGTTTTATGCGACACTGTTTCGATCGATAATAGGCTGCTCTCTAATAGGCGGATCACACGTTATAACACTTTTATATATTACCACCACTGAATTAACTACTTCCATGAATCCGGTTTTCATCTTGTTGTGCTAATGAGGTATGGCAACTTGGACCGATGCATATATGCGCCTGGTCCTACGTTGTAGCTGACTGACTGTTTTTTACTTTTCACCCTCAAATGTTTCTGAATTCGAAAGATCCCACAACGTTCGATCAGGTTTAGATAAACCTTCGAAAACCTACTTCACGGTTTTCTTTTCACTAAACAAAATGTATACCAATATTTGAAAATAACTAAAAAGTGAACATCGAAGTTTGACAGTTCAATTATCTATAAATACAATTTTAAGAAAAAAGAGCTCACTTAATCGAATAAATTTGACCATCAGGATCTTGTACTTTTCCTTTATCTTTAATCCGAAAAGGCAATTGTATATTGGATGTATGCTCTATAATTTGTTGAGCTTGATTTAGACAATCTAAAAAATTTATCATAGCTGTATCGAATCTGCATATGTATATCAAAGAATAGAGAAAAAAATAATTACATTGGATAAATTATAACATTTTTAGTGTCAGCAAAACAAATACAACAGCCAATAGATTATGGAGAGTGAAAATATAGAACACGTCAACAAGATGCAAACAGATGATCAAAGGATAAGTATGCGTATTATATAAACACTTCCTCACAACAAACATTTGTTTAGTCTTATTTTTGCTTTTAAATGATCATCTGGCGATAGTCAGTTCTAAACAGAAGCTATTTCAATAATAAACCGAATGAATATGTTTAAGTAGACGAAAAATCTGTTGTTTAAATTTATGTGAGAGCGAAAAAATGTTTTATTAGTAACAATGATGATTTCTTCGGTAATTCGTTTTTCCCCGTATGCTTCATATAGCCTTTACTAAACTATATGTTGAATATGATCAATTTTAAAAAATGTGATTCAATGTAAACATAGATGTTATATATATATCACTCAACTCACTTGCCAGCGCTTAATAATCGCATGCCACCAGTAGTATAATATAGAGGAAATTCTTTCGATATCGATAGTTGAACCATTTTTGATTGGCTTCCCATTGGCACAATACGATGACTAACAGTAAATAATTTAAATGTATAGAGGAAAAAAAAGAAATAAAGCAAGGAAGATAAAACAAAGTACTCAACACTTCGTTGGAATAAAAACAGTACTTCGATAAGAAAGAAAAATTATAATCACTGAATGATTTGATAACTGTGAATTGGTTAGCAAGATTTTCATTTTATAATGATTTATGCAAAATATATTACGCATAATTTAAAACAAATTTATTGACATGAATCGTAAACCAGTTACAAACTAATTGCTTGTTTTTTTTGTTGAATAAATCAATATGCTCCGTCTAATAGGTTGTTTATTTTATTATGATTCGGCTTTATTTCAACATCAGAATACGATTCTGTATATTTAAGAACTATGAATCGATACCAAGTACTTAGTTGCCATCCAAATACCAACTGCAGCCAAAAGTTGTAAAACACAATGTGTAAATAATACTACCACATAAGTGTTCACCACACCATTTAGAAAACTATATGTAAAATAAAACACGTTTGTTGAACTGATGAACAAGATATAAATTAAAACTCCTGTTGAAATGTAACTACTGCTAACAATCACTACTAATTTTATTAAGTTATATCATGTGCTGCACTGTTGAACAGCCTCTCATACTAAACTGAAATAGGAAATTGGATGATAAATAAGTACCATCGAGACGGCGAGAAAGTGATTACAAGCTAAAATGCTAGAATGTTCAAATTCCTCCTATTAGCAAAGCAGATTTGTCTGAAGCGGGATTCCGTTAGCGCCAAGAAGACTCTGGAATCTTCCTGTGGAAAAATTTGAAATACACAGACGCTTTTTGACTGTATTGACTTAGTTCAACTTTTTTAAAATAATTATGTTCCTACACAAGCCAAGTTGTGATCTGACGACCAGTCGAATGGAGTAAAGTGTTGAAGTAGGAGACTTAACACTTCCTTGTCTACTTCGATTTTGACAACCAGGTGATATCCCCACTTACTAAGTACAAACGAGGTGACTAACAACCGAGTAGATAAACCTGTACTTAATAAATAGCTTACATGAAATCACTATATACCAATTAATTTATAGAAGCTGAAAGAATAAACTGTGTGCGTTTTTTTAAATAAATACCACAAAGAGTAATATTAAATAGTTATTATCATCAGAAAAGAAACGTGAGTAATATACTCAATTTACTAACTTTTGAAAAGTGTAATTAAGTTTCTTCCCAATGCACTGTAATAATAAAGCACATTGACCCCAAGCTGCATTGATCTCTTCCCAACCAACCTTTTGAAATATAACAAAAAGTAATAACCATAACTATCACGGTATTTCTCTCTTTCTCTTTATATATATATGTCTTACTACCAACACACCTAAACTGTTTTCTTAACCAATTCCAATAACCCCAACTACTTCCACACGTTAACCATAAAGCTATAGAAAATTGAAGGCGTTTATAATTACATGCAACCGTGGGATTCCAGAAATTTCTAGAGCCATACTAAATATAGTACCAGCATAGTAAATACTGAGTCAAAACGGCGACACGTGATTTTGTATTTTCTAGATGCTTCTGTGAAAATCCTATTCATTGATGACCAAACAAAAGATCCCAAGGGTTTTCGAGCCTGTAGAGATTTTGATCAGGGATATTTTGGGACTTCACCAACAAACACATTCCTCAAAGTTGTTGTTATATCTTGGAGAAGACTTGAATTATGAGTAACTTCTGAGACCTATTAATGGACTAATATTATATATATATATATATATATATATATATATATATATTCCTATTGTATAACTGTTCAGTAACTAGATTGTGTATATTTATATTCCTCTAACTATAAGCTTCATTGTGACCTAGAATTTATTATTATACGATTTACTGTTCTTAAATTATACTCAGTTTATTAATTACTGTTTCCCACGTTCACGGCCACGTTTTGGCTTTATTGTGTATAAATGTTATTTCCTATGTTATGGTGTGATGCCGTCTGTTTGGCTGGTATATAAACCAAGTATGTCTGAAATAAATGATGCGCATAGTGGAAGCTGTTATTGGTGTTCTGGACCCAACTGCACGGGCTAGGCGAGCAAAGAATCAATGAGGACACTGGACTGATCAGACCGGTCGAACGTCATTGATTTAGTACGGTACAAGAGTGAATAGGTTGTATTTCGATTGACGAATAAATTACGTGATAGCTAATCGAACCAGTTGTACTGTTCTAAATCTAAGAAACAAATTAATTGTATTGAGAGGTTTGAGCAGGTCGCGTTTAACGTATCACTTGAGAAGTTATTGTAGCTTAACAATGAGATTATATAAAAAAACTATTGCGCCTGAAATAAGATCTCAGACTTGTAATATATTAGTATATTGAAATCATTTATTTATAATTTTCCAGTCTTTAATATAACGCATTAACGATTATCGACGAATTCGACTATTTGCAGAAGTTCAATCAAATTAATTTGTCTGTGCCTAGAAAAGTCTATCGTCAGCTGAATGAATATTTGATACACTTTCAATATACTTCTTACTACATGAAGACAATAATCAATCTTTATCAAAGTGTTACCAAAAGACATTAGTTACAGACCAGCTATATTGATTAGGTAACAGGAATATTTTGTTTATTTGTTTAAGAACTTATTGGAACATAATCTTATTATCGATCGTTAAGCGGGGCATTTGAATTTACTGATCATATTAAACAGGCTTTCGATAAATTAAACTAAACTTTCAATTAAACATTTATTGATCATTTTGGTCTGTGTACATAATTTAAGTTATAATGATTATCAAGACACTTACAGGACGATTGGGCAAACGACCAAGATGTAGTCCATTGATTACACCAATGTGACCATCGTACCATATAGGAAAAGCGATATTAAGTACATTTGTACGCTGTAATCTATGTAAATGATTTCGAGCATAGCTTAGTCGAGATTCTAAGCACTGCATTTCTTCTTCTGCTTCTATTAAGGCCAGTTTTTGATCATTATATTGAGTGGTAGCTCTAATGGATGAGATGAGAATATATATATATATATATATATATATATATATGCATACGTACAGTTACGGGTACCTATAAATACATGTTAGTAAACAATGTTATACAAACTTTACATGAATGAAATACTCTACTTTTATCTGTATCAGAAAAACTAGTGTCTATCAATACTACTCATTTGACCAATTTGAATGTATTAGTCGTAAATTATCTTCACCTTCTTAAAGTTTTACCTTTTTGTAAAATAAGATTTCGTGAAGGAAGAATTCCATTAATTAATTAATCCTGTCAAGATTATGCATAAACAGTGGTCGTACTTGATGACAATAAATTTAACCGTCTATTAGACTGGAAATAAAAGAGCTTTGGGCACACCCATATTCTTGTCCTGGTCTGTCAGTCAGTGGGTATAAACAACTTAGGATCTAGTACAAATGTGCAGTAGCCAAATTAATCACACCGCATGACGATAACAACAGAAAGTTAACAAGTGAGGAACACAAGAGAAGAAATAGTTGTAGTAGAACTAATAATAAATACTAACAAAACGAAAATAACACCGTTTTGTAGTGTGTCAATTAATTATTACTATATACGTGATCGGGTTCTTAATACTCTTTGTTTCTAAAGTTTGTTTTCTAAAACATGTAAAAGAAAAATTCACGTCAAATGTATCATCTTTAGGTTAGAAGTACACCGTTAGTTTGTGCACATAAATATCATGCTTAGTAAACTTGTCTAGAGGTTTCAAAATACTCACACCTAAGTATTTAAAAGCTATTGTAAATGAAAACTGGTATGTCTTGCTAATCGAACACTCAATCTGACTTCTTAATCACTTCTTTTAATCTCAGACTAAATCTACACGGCAACTTGAACAGAAGATCTAAGGTGCCAAGTGCAAAACCAAAGTCTAGTAATAAAAATTTATTTGACTTTCAAAACAAATTTTAAAAAATGACTTATGAATACACCACTTTTTGTATGGTTTATTGAAAATTAGATTAACAGTCAGATTTGTATGAAATGAACTAATTTGTATTTAGCAACAATAATTTAATAACTTATTATGTGAATACATATTTACCATATTATATAATTAGGGATCTATAATTCTTCAAATGTGATGAATAAATGTCACACACGATTGGGAAATATCAATTTCATATGCCATTTGCATTTTGATTGATTAACTTACTCACTATATCAGAAATAAAATATCTAGAAATCTTAGTTAATAGATATTTAGCTCCCTTATAGATCAATCACAAACTAATCCATACAGTAGGAATCACAATGAATCACTTCACCTATATTATAGTAGCATTAAAATGTTCATTAGACAAAAATGATAACTCCAGAGATGTGGATTACCGCGAGAAAGAATTCCGCGTCAATTTGAATAATGACAAAAGACTAAAGTATCAAGTAATGAATGTAATATACAATGCCTACAGATATATCAGTGCAAAAATATTGATCAAAGGAAACTCACCTATCTAATTCTTCCGTACGCTTTTCTAATTCAGCTGTATCTTGAATTATTTGTTTATCTAATTTGTCATTTTCAATTAACAACTCATTTAAATTGGATTGTAAAGCATTTAATGTTTGTTCAAGTTCACTTACACTTGTACCATATTTTTTACGATTTGATGTATAATTTTTAATATTTTTATCTATTTTCACAGCATAACTACTACCACCTATGTTGTTATTGTTGTCGTCGTTATCACCACCCCCATCATCATCATCAAAATAATTATCACTATCATTGTTATCATCAAATGCAAGACTTAATACAGAATCAATTAATGTTGAATCGTTAGCCAACTCGTTGTTTGCATCATGAACGGCAGTATCGTCATCGTCAACTATTTTATTAAATAGAATTTTGTTTTCACTAGATGTGATAGTGCTTTGATTTTCAGAGACTTGATCATGTGATTGAGTGATTGTTTCACATGAAAGATTATCACTTTCCGTTTTCTGGGTTGACTTTAATTTAAACGCTTGTTTAGACTTTAATTTAGCTTCAATTTTCCCAGCAGTCGAATCAAGGTACGATAAGTAAAATCTGGAAAGTAAGGACAAAGAATATATATAACTACAAAATTCGACAAATATTTTTTACGCATACACAATGAAATTCTAGTTTGCTGTTAAAAAACCCGTTTAACTCAATACATAAAAAGTAAAATTTTATGTAAGAGTTGTCATTAATACCAGAAGTAAAACCTTGGCAGTGATACCACAGTGGATCGCTTAGATGTACACCACATCAGTTTCAGTAAGAGCCAAATAACAAATCTAGTTAGTTACAACTTCAAATATATTTCCATCTACATTATTTTTCTGCAGGTAATGTAAAGACTACAACGTATATATTAACATTGTACTAGATAAACGAAATGTGAAAATGAACATTCACTGTAAATACCAACAATAAAGGAATGTATGTGCAAACAAAAAGCCTTGTACAATATATATGTTAACAACGGATTATAATTTAAGTGGCGTAAGACTAATATATAATTCATATTAAATATGTCATATATATACGAATTTGTCTTCCATGAGTAACTTAAAAGATTATACTGAATAGTAGGAAAGAACGCATAAGGTAAAACGAAGAATACCAACTTTATCGTTTACACGACGTATCACAAAAAAATGTGGTGCAACTGAACAAGTAAATGACATACTTAGAGGGGTGAAAGTAGCGATTAGTCCTCGTAACACAATATTGCTGTTGGATTGTGAATAAACATACTAGGACGGAATTGTTGTCTAGCGGTCCCTGACTGTCAGTGGTTGTTTACCCAAATCTAGTATGTGAAGTAAAACTATATAATTCAACAATCCCTACAACCCTCTATACTAAACTATGAGTTGAATGAATACATAGATGAACAAAGAATATTTGTTACATTAACTGAAATTTGATTCGAATAATAAATATACAGAAAAAAACAAAACAACGATACAAAATTATATACTTACTGCAAACATTTCATTTCTTCTTCCTGAAATTCTAAACACTGTTGTTTAGCTAACAGTAAAGTATCAGCACATTCCTGGCATAAAGGATGATCAACTTCAGTACGACCACTTAATACATCAAATAAACAAGCATTCACCTAAATACGTAGTAAATTAAATTGTAGTTACGAAGATTGGAGATCACAACAATAGTAATGATGACGATTTTTATGCCCAGTGAATTAACAAAACTGAACAGACTAATTACGTAAATGAAAATAATCAGATACAATGAATATAACGTAATCTATGTTTGGTTATACAATCTTAAGATATGGCTTTCAAAGTAAAACGATGTAGATAACTGAAAGTATTTAATTAGTTTTATTTTTAAAATATGTAGAGTGGAATCGTAGAGTAGACAATGTAGGAGTTGGAATCAAACTTTAGAAAAGAAAAATGTAAAAAAATTAATGAAGTCACAAATTTAAGGCGATAAAAATGTTCAAGAAATATCTTTAGCCTAGAAAAAAGAGCAAAGCGAGCTACTGGAAGCTGCAGGAGAATTCAATCTAGTTATATAATTAGTTTATGAAACTGTTGGATATTTATGGGAACTAGAAGGAGGTTCAGAAACAAGAGAAATCTGAAGATAGAGAAAGATCATAAAGCTATGTACATGATTATTTATTAGGCTGTCAATATCAAATTTCTTTTATTTTAAAGTCCATAACTGATGTTTGGTAGTTGGACACGATTATCAGGAATCCATAGTCCTGGGTTGTGTGTAGTTGGCGCTCGTCAGAAAGGTTAATCTTCAGTCTTAAGCAAACTGCAGATTCGAACAGGTGTCACCGAATGTCAAAGTCAGAGACATTACCACTGAACTATTTTTGTCACCACGTTCTCTTATAGGATTGTGATATTTTGCTTAACTGCCCCTTAGTGCAAACAACTTAGTATTAAATAATAATGAACGAAATATCGGGTCCTTCACACTAGTGTCCAAATTGAAAACTGGCAGTTTAACAATAAGAACTAGACACATATGACACTAGTTACTACTCAATTGTTATTAATAAAAATTATATAAGAGTAATGTCCCAATTGGAACAAAAAATTAAGTCTTCTGACGTATCGTGATTTCTTCAGAGAACAAATATTAAAATTTATTATTCTTCTTCATAAAAATCTACCAAATGTTCAATTTATTTAAAATTATCAAGTGAAACCTTGGTAATGATACCTACATGCTCAATGGTTAATTAATACGAGTACTACTTAATTATTTTTGTCATCTTGACAGAGGGTAGATTAAAAGAAAACTTTAATACTTAAGGTATCTTTTTACTGGAAACATTATATCACGGTTTTTGAAAAACCCCACTAGGAATTTTCTACATTTGTTGGACCATTCAAAGTAATATACCAGTCTTGTTTGACACAAAGCTTCATTCTTCCTAAACAATTGTTTCTAGCATTTATCGATTATGAATATTCCTCTGCTCTAGGATTTGCCCTAACAATCTCATCTCGCTATGATAATGGGGTACAGCAATTTGAACCGATGTACACACATACTAGGTCTCTTTCACTGAGTTGATGTTTATCGAAGCATAATGTAAGGGGGAAACAATTAAGAATCTCGACTAGTTTACGTTGATAAAATCATTCTGTTTGATGCTAATGTGTCATTTCATTTTCTATTATATTCCCAAATTCATGAACACTAGTTTTCGCTTAATGTGTTATAAAATGTTTCAGTTAGAACCAATGTCATACGAAATTAGATTTAAATCCCTTCAATCTGAAGATGGTTTCGTTACGGATTGATATTAGTTACAGAATCATTGAAAACAGAGGATCTGAAAACAACCGTTTAACATGGGTACGTGATTCCTCAGTAGCATATATTCACGAACCTCCTAGAGTCTGAACACGAAAATAACGATTATTGCTCCAATTTCGCTAATTTTAGAAAACTCAGTCCAATGGTAGACATTTCCAACTGATATGTAACAGACTCATTTGGAGAGTTGATTGGTTTGAACGCCTGAAAGATTATAGGTACATTGCTGTCCAAGTAGACATAATGCAAAGTTTAAATATTAAAAATTGAAATACCACTCTTAAAACTCACCTTAAGACGATGGTCAAGACTTGAAGTAGGTCCGGTATATGACTGAAGAGTTTCAAGTGGATCTTCCTCATCATTTAACAAGGACAATGCTGAACTTAATAACCAACACAACGAAGAAGTTAGGAAGTTAATGAGCAAACAAGGATTATATATAAATATATCTAATATGTGCTGTGATTAACATTTAGTCACTAAATCACAAGTTTAAGCCTCAACCTATTTCAGTTCCGGTAGTCCAGTGGTATTGTAGTGAACAAAACACCAGTGGTGACAATCCATCGTATCAAACTTGACCGTTCCTGTTGCAAACATCAATCGATTGTCTGTCCTTTCATTGTTCATGAGTTTCCATACAAATTCCACTGTGTTCCCCCTCTTCCTTTCTTGATCTTCCTCCATCTTCTGCTGCCAGACATTACGTTTCTAACTCGCGTAATACACTACTTATGTCTACATAAGTAGCACACACCACAGTATCACTGGCTCGAAGCCAATTATATGAACTTGTACTTGGTGTGTTGTCTCATCACTGACCCGCAAAGAAATCGTCAAACGAACAATTTGATTGTACATAGATAAGATTTAGGAAGGGTACAAACCGATTCATTCAAAGGTTTTGATTTTTATGTTCAGGTGAGTTTCTACACAACCCAGAATGCAATCCTCTTCTGACTAGTGATTTAGGAAATAAATCGAACAACTTTTACACTCACATAAATATGCAAAACTATGTCCAAAACTGAGTTATTAAAGAACCATCAGAGGTACGTATTTCAAAAGAAAACTTACTTTGGTGGGACAATAAATCTTGGTCGAGGAGTGGTCGAATTTTTAACAGGTACTAAATTAATTGGATCAGATGTTTCACTGTCAGCAGTCGTAGCATCTAATATTGAAAAAGATGTATTTGCAAAACTAATTACAAAAGAAAACCTATCAGGGAGGCAGAAAAAATAGTGTGAAGATTGATTTTTTTTATTTATATTGAAGTCTCGACCACAGTTATTACTTTAACATAGCGATCAGGTTTCCTAATGATAACGATATTTCTGACTTATGATGGCGGGAACACCAACCAGTCGGGTGGATTTAAGAGAGAGGAAACAAATAAGAACACATCTTAGGACCCAAAACTCAGTCTCATTGCTGAATGTAATAGGGTATGGGCTCAGTAAGATGTTTCCAAAGGGTATTAAGTAAATCAATTGATCTTATCTTTTTATGGATATTTCTAAAAAGCTAAAATAAAAAAATTACTAAGCAATGGTTATGTTTGACCGAACTCTGCTAGTTGTCCTCGATGTCCCACGGTGTGGTCAGTCAAGTATTAACCGTTTATACACTTGAGTACAAACACTTTGAAAATGGAAACAAGTAATATAGTTTATAAACCCACATAAGACGGATAATTAATAGTGCATACGATTATGTATCAATCGAGAAAGGGTATCTTGTGTTTGCAGAATGAAGATGTGGATCGTTCAATAAGGAAAAATGCTATTCTGTTTGCCTTCTTACTTGAGTAGTGTCTACTTATTATATTTGTTTGCATTTTTAACGTGGAACAACTGTGAGGATTATCCATGTCACAAAAAAATAACGAACTAAATACTCATTAGAAAACGCGATGCAATCAATAGAACACTTAGAATCATAAAATCTGATATAAAATCGATCTAATGTACTCACTATTAAAAAGTTAATGATTTCACTTGGCTTATTGCCACTTTATTTAATTTTTATTAATAAACCATTTGATTCATTAATCTATTGACTGCGAAAATTGATAACAATCTGATAAATATAAACTTTATTATTGAGAGCAAACAAAACATACAATGTAAATTACATAAAGAAATAGAATATCTCACCAATTAAGGTCAGCAATTCTGTTTTCTGTAAGTGTTCAAAATCTTGATCCAATTGTAGTGGATTATAGCATCTCTGACAAACTGGTTGATATGGCATAGGTGAACCGAGTAAATTATCATTACTACTAATAGCACCAACTAATTGTCCAGTTGTATTAGTGGATGTTTGTTGTGACATTACACACCATTACAATCCTGCTATTGTCTTATTTCCTTACAAATGTAAATATTAAAAAGTGGTTTTAATAAAACGAAAGACGAATCAAAGAAATTTGTCTAACTCACTATGACATGGTGAATACATTCTGTGTAATTGTTATCTCGCCCATACTTTTCAAGTTGCCAGTCCCACTGATCTAATTACAATCAAAACAATTACATTTTTATTATTACTTAGAGTTTATTACACTGTACATGAACCGAGCATGAAATTTACAACTTCCAGCCAAATTTTTGGTAAGTGTAAAATCGATATTCTCGCACGGAAACCGAATATATTCAAGTTTCGTGCTTAAATGTTCATCAGTTTGGATTGAAATTTCATATGATAATTTCGATAAACAAATGATTTCTATAAGACTAATTGGATTAGGAAGATTTACAGTGTAGTATAAAAACTAGTGAATCTGTTTCATTTCAATATTATGAATAAAGTTATATTTAACAAGCATGACAAAACCAAGTTTTCGAATACAGAATCGGTAACTTTTAAGCATGAAAAATGAGCTATCCAGGAAAATCCCCCTTCTATTTAACCAAGATCGACTTGTAGTGAATATTAACACTAGACATAATAAAAGTCCGATAGCCTATTAGTTTGCAACCAAGAAGTTCATAAACAGTCTGTTTACAGGAAATCACCTATTTGTATAAAAACAGTAAACGTGATTATCATCAATGTCCTAGGTTTTTCGGCTGTGATTTTTAGGTTTATGCGGATCATTGAACTGACTTTATGTCAAAATGGTCAATCACAGTAGAAAACAAAGTTATTTGGATATTTTTTTATAAACATAGCATATCATCAACATTAAAAACTACGCGTATAAGCATAGCCTTTTGCCCGTCACGTTTTGTCTTTTATGCGTTAGAAGACTTCCCCGAACTGATTTCATTTTGTTCATTAGAAATCAAGTATTGGTTAAGTAGGTCTTAACTGGTAATTGCCTGTGCAGAGTGTGTATTGTTTACGAAGTCATTACTGGTCACTTCACAGGTCGCCTGTTTGGCATACGCAACAATTTAGCCCAATGATACAACTGTATAAAGACAACTGAGGTACAGTCATAAAAAGTGTGTAAAAGTTAATACACTTGAAACAACGGACGCTAATAACCTTAGTTTAAAAAGTCGTAAACATAAGAAAACTAGTATTAAATAAATGCTTTGATACCCTACAGAAATCCATCAAAAACTTAAGTAAGCCCAAGTTGACAGGTTATTCCTGAAGTTGTCCACCTGGGGTACTTAGTTAAATGCAATTCGAGAGCTATTAAAACGAAGGCAGATTATACATACACTAACACTAGGCTTTGTTTTCTAATTACAATCAACAAATCCATTCAAGGTCGGCATCATTAATTGCACTAATTATGATTGGTAAGAGACAAGCAAAACTAGTTATTGTACACAAAAAAGTATTTATATATTTTATATGGCAGTTGACATTACATATACACATGTAAAAGAAAATCAACGGTTTAAATACACGGTTCCATAAAATTATACAAGTCTTCATACTGACAGATAATGAATAGAAACCTTTATGCGTATAATGATAATAACCATAATTATAATATTAGCGATGGTTCCAAATCACAGACTGATCAAGTTTTCTCTCCACTATTTAGTTGTGGAACAAATATGATCAACATTAACATTGCCTTATCACTATTAATAGTAGTCTCGTCGAGGATTGTTCTAAAATAAATAACAATAATAACATTGATTAACTGAAGACAATGATTTACACATACTAAAAAATGAAATACAATGGCAAGCTAGAACCTCACTAAGTTTAACTAACAAGCCTTGGACAAAACAGTCGGAATTCAAAAAATAAAACATTAGGTTGTTCCGCTTTGCGTAAGCTGAGTTACAACATCCTCAAATTCGATACAAGCCAGAGAGCTAATGATGATATCCCCTTGCAGGTATGATTAAAACAGATTTAACCGAACAACATGCCGAAAATGCTTACATTATTGGTAAAGATGAACGGAAGACTGAATTTTGTCAGGATCTTCATCTAACAGAACTGCATCGTCTGCATTTTCCAAGTCAGCTAGTTGATCTCCAAGTAGGAGATCAAACCCTTAAAAGTCAGAAGACGAGAGCGTTGTCTCCAAAAGGATGTCACAAAAAGATTTTAGACGTTTCTTATAGACTGGGATGATCAGGGATCAAGACCAATCAGATGAGATTACATCCAGTCTTCAGATTCTATATAAGATCTCAGATAATCTAACCGCTAAAACTGAACCACCAACCTTAAAAATCTCACGGGTTAGTCCATCATTCCCTGCTGTTCTCCATCGTTTTAGATTACTTATAGCCTTTTCAACCTCACTAAGAGTTATTCGGAGATAGTGCGTAACTGAGGTGTGACTGAAGGTCAATTGAACTGTTCCCTAAAGTGTTCTACCCATCGGTTCAGTCTCCTGGATTGAGAGTGAATAGTAATCCCATCGTTTACCGAGATATTTTCGTTAACAAATGGATTTTTAATACCCGTTCACTTAATAAGTATGGACAGTTGTCTACTGTTACCTATCGCTAATTCCTTTTCCATCTCTCCTGCTTTCGTTACCACAACTGCTCGTGATCATTACGTAGGCTTTTGATCAACCTACGTTTAAGATACCTCCGCTCCTTACCATGTTCTGAACCAGACGGGATGAAAGTTTGAGCATCTGTCAGTTCTGTAGACGCCGCTGATACCCACTGATATCTCTTCGCCTTTTGATTTAATTTGCTGGTTGCTATCATTGCTATTTTCACGACTGTTCGGATAGCATGTCAAACTGACTCGGTGTGAATATCACCTTCATGGTTGACTAACTACATTTCTGGTCGATTCTGAAATATTTTCCACATTCTTTCTTACTATTAAGTTGAAATGTGACGAGTCTTCCTACTGTGTATTTTCTGTTTCCTGTAAGACATAGATAAATACGTCCTCACACTGGAGCGTCATCTAAATCTAAACATAAGCTCCAGGATGATCAGCAGTCCTCTGTCGAGCCCCTCCAACGATGACTGATGGAAATGAGGTTTATTTGAGTCCATTGCTGAATCGATTGTACGGGTCACCACGTCAGACGACGTCTCTTCTCGTGTTTACAGTTTTTGTTTGCTGGAAATGGACGGTCATCTGAGCATAGTTGCAACAGACGGTCAGCATTATTTGTTCACTGAGCCGCGACACTGTAAGATCTGCTTCAGTGCCTTTCGGTTCGATTTAGTCTAACTACTTGAGAATTAAAATCACCTGGCGCTGTTACTCTACCTCAGAGCATTTGGCTTTTGATGGAGCTTTGATAGTTTCTTATAAATTTCATCTTCAACTTCGTCCGAGCTGCAATCAGTGAGAGTATAAGCAGAGTCAACGAAAAGACAATGGCGCATGTCTCTATCTTTTAAATTACTTACTGTCCCGTTAAGTCGAGCAGCACACAAGTGACTGTCTATTAGAACCCAGTAGAACAGGGCCTGTTCTACTTTAGAACTTAACGATATACCTAAACCAACAGGGTTAAGATGAATAGCAGTGGGGTCTCCAGACACTCAAGGGGTAAGTCGCAACAATTCCTCATATTGACAAGGTGAGGTCAAATGAATGACCGTACTCGAATCCTGTATGCACGCTTCGGAGACAATACACATCAACGGCACGAGATTCTAGAGTCTTAGCCAAAGAAGCCGGTTGTCCTATCTGACACAAGGTTCGAACATTAAAAGCTCTAACGTGTAGTTCAGATAGTGGGCTTCAGGAGACCAGGAATAACACTTTGTCAACTCAAATCATTAGTATTGGTGACATGTGATGATAAAGATATACGAGAAGGGTTAGTCGTCAGGGAGACGTTAAGAGATGAGGAAGGGATTTGATGATGAACAATATGACACTGAGTGCTGCTAGGGACGTAAAGGCATTTGTTACTTCCAGGCTGCTCATACCATGGGATGATATTTTCCCTTGAGACTTGAGAAAAGGACTGGAATAATCGTGGTTTTAACAACCCGGGGAATGTGACTTCAGAGTCCATGAGACAACTTCTTGAGGCTGGTCATATACGGTTTTTCTGAGAAGGATTTGTATTGTGTTAGCTCCACACTTCAAAACGCCTTGCTGCCTAATACAGAAATCTGTGAGATAAGGTAAGATGTGGCATTTTTGTGTCGACTTTTCTAACCTCTATTTCGTTGTGTTAAAGTAGCATCCCTACAGATGCTGTTTGTCCGAAAGAAACACTTTGCTGTCATTACATCCCAGTAGAGTTAGTAGTTCGAATTCGCCCTCGGACATTAAGTCGCTGCTATTAGTCTTACCACCACAGAACCTTTTACGTATCTGCATCGATTCACGTTCCCATACCTCATAAGGACAGAGAGGAGAAATTATCAACCCAAATTCTAGAATAGCACAAGTAGTAACAGCATTAAAGATAATAAGAACCAACCCGCTTGATACGATAAAACTTAAAGGAACAAGTGTTTCAGTAACTATAGCTCGACTGAGTCATCACGATAGAAAAGTATGACTACCACATTAAGGAAGCAGCTACGATTGGAGTTATTCTACATCAACCAACTCCGTAGAAGACTCATGGTTGTTATGATAGAACAATAGACTCAATAAAAACTCTAATGAATAGAGTTTGAAGAGTTCAGAAGACAATACTCGAATTAAAACACTGAAAAAAGAAACACCAACCAACAAATAGATTTTTTTACATTTAAATAAGAAAATGTTAGATATTATATACCAGATCTTATTTATTTATTATTTATTTGAACACATAAATATTGGTACAGAGAGGTACCAAATATATATGCGCCACACAAAACAATGAGAATTTAAAGAGGAGAGAAAAAAAGTAATGAACGTGGGGAATTATAAAAAAAGGGGGAGAGAGAACAATAATGGGGGAAACGGAAAGGTACAATCAGAAGAAATCTTTCAGTTAAGGAAGGAGCAACCACTTTTTATGAAGAAAGTAAAAGAAGGTTACAGCACGATCGCCACTGGCTTCTATTCTGAGCCATATCTGATAACGTCTCTAGCCAATGTGTTACACCATCTCTCGGACCCCAGCCAGGGAGTCGTGAAGGTCCAACAGAAGCTAGCCCTTTGCAGCTTTCTTTCATACCACGACACCATGTCATATACTGACCACCTCTCCGCTTTTTCCAACCAGTCCCAGAGTCGGCAATAATGCACGACGAGAAATTCTCTGGGACGACATTCGTAGAACACGTCCAAGCCACCGAAGTCGGTGTTTCAAGATGGTAACACCAATTGCATTATCGTCTCTGTGCCCGAACACACGATGCCGAACCTCTGCATTACTAACATGGTGTTGCCACTGGATGTTAGCAATCCTTCGGAGACAGCGATGATCGAACACAGAGAGACGTCTAACATCCTCAACTCGGAGAGGCCAGGTTTCACAAGCATAGAGCAAAACTGCTCTCACCGACGCGTTGTAGATCCGACCTTTTACAGCCAGACTAACATCACGAAGGCGCCAAAGATGGCCCAGATTGGCATAAGCCGCTCTGGCTTTCACTATACGTGCATTGATCTCGTCACTCACGCCACCACCAGCACTTATGCAGCTACCTAGATACACGAACTTCTCGACTACTTCTATCTGCTCACCATCCAGAGTGAGTACAGGATTAGAATCCTGCCAGTCTTGTAGAAGAAATTTGCACTTCTAAGGTGCGAAGCACATACCATACCTACGGACACTGATTGCCAACTGATTAAGTGCGGATTGCATATCTTGGGCATTCTCGCACAGTAAGACAATATCATCCGCATACTCAAGGTCGAGAAGTCTTTCTCCAGGCAACAGATCCACACCACCATTACTTACATCCATCACAGCTGTTTCCAGAATGTCATCTATGGCAAAGTTGAAGAGGAATGGTGAGATTGGGCAACAGTCTAACCCCACTGCTTGGATGGAATAATGGAGAAAGGTGTTTGTGTATAGGGCTTTTAGGATGTTAATAAACTTCTCAGGCACACCCTTCTTCAATCACAGAGGGCAGTCATGTCCAACAAATCGAAGGCAGCCCTGATGTCAAGAAACACTACGATTGTTGGCCTTTGATAAGTATGGCGGTGTTCTAACATTTGGCGGAGGGTGAAGATATGATCAATACATCCTCGACCGGAACGAAACCCAGCCTGCTCCTCGCGAGTCAATCCTTCTCGAGTTCTGAACAACCTACGAAGTATGACGGAAGTCAATAGCTTGGACGCAATCGGAAGTAGACTTATCTCCCGATAGTTGTTACAGGAACGACGTGAACCCTTTTTAAAGATAGGGACAACTATCGACTTACTCCATGACGTTGGTACACTCTCTAGTTCCCAGACCTTTGTAAACAACATCGTCAGTCCCTTAGTCAGAAAGTCACCACCATCTTTAAAAAGAGCCAGAGGTAAGTCGTCTGGGCCCGGTGATTTGTAACGATTCAAGAGTTGGAGTTCCTTGAGGACTTCCGCCTCATTTGGTGGATCAGTCGTCACCGGCCATGGAGGGCAGGACAGTCTGACCGATGTTGCCGGAGCAGCAGGTCAGTTGAACTGCCCTTCAAAGAATTCTGCCCATCGTCCAAGACGTCGATGGATGTTAGTGATTGGCGTTCCGTCATCCTCGCAGATTGTTTCGCTCACACCAGACTTCTTGCTGCCAGTGGCTCGGATGAGTTGGAAGAGCTTCCGGTAATTACCAGATGCAGCTGCTGCTTCCAACTTATTAGCACGCTCCGACCACCAGGCTTCTCGGTCCTTACGTAAGCTTTGCCCGATTTCATTACGTAACAACCTTCGTCTGTGGTCAAACTCACGGTCACCCGGAGTAGACCGACGGGCTTCAATCAGTTGTAAGGAACCAGAAGAAACCCAGTGCTTATAAGCGGGACGTTTCGCGAACCCACAAGTGACTTTGCCCGCCATTTTCATGGCGTCATGCAATTGCAACCAATGCTCATCTATACTTTTCGGTGGAATGATAGCTAGCCTAGAAGCTAGCTCGGTTCGGTACTTACTAACAACAGAAGTTGCAGCCAGCTTGCTAACATCAATCCTTTGGTGGCGGTCACTTCGTTGTCCACTGAAAAGTAAGGTAAGATTGGCGCAGACCAGAGCATGATCAGATTCCAGATAGGTACTCCAAAAGGAGCGGCAGTCTTGTACACAACCACGCCAGCGGCAGCTGATCGCGATGTGATCAATCTGAGTCCAGGCTTGAGATGCAGAAGGGGGACGCCAGGTGGCACATCGGCGATGACTGTGCCGAAAGTTAGTGCTAGCCAGAAACAGGTTGTGGTCTGTGCATAGATGCAGCAGACGTTCCCCGTTATCTGTCCTGCGACCAACGAGTCCCCATCGGCCACCTAAACGACTCTCTTCTGTGCCTAGACGCCCGACCTGAGCATTCAAGTCTCCGGCTAGTACTACAATATCTGACGGACGCACTTTCTGGAGAACAGTTAACTGGTGGTAGAATTCATCCTTGATTGCATCCGGGCTGCAATCTGTCGGGGCATAGGCGGAGATGACGAAAAGACATCGTTTCTCACATTGATTTCTTCTCACTTTGATGAAACTTTCTAATCTAACAGCACATAACCGACTGTTAATGGGGATCCAATCGATTAGTGCTGCCTCAGCTCTATTGCTTAGTGCGACATCAACGCCAGCAAGACCAGACGAAGATGCCACAGGGTCCCCGAATAAACGCACACAAAACAAGCTTTGTGAAGCGACAGATGGAGATCGAACTTGTAGTACTTCACCAGAATCTTGAATACGGGTCTCGGATAGACAACACACGTCAATATGAAGACTTTCCAAAGACATAGCCAGCCCTATCTGTTGTCCGACCTGCATAAGTGTGCGAACGTTGAAGGCAGCCAGTTTGAATGGTGCAAGTGGTTTCACCAGAACTATTCGAAGGTGAAAATGAGGACCAGTGAGTCTACACATCTGTCTGTTGCATCAGATTTCGAGAAAATACAGCTACATCTCAGTCCAATAAGAAAACATTAATTGTTAGACATTGGATCACTTTGTACAATGTAGATTTTAAGCTGGAAATAAAAAAATCGCTTACTATATTACACTTACCAAAGGATTTGGTCGAAACCGATAAGCTAACATCATACGTTTCCTGTATGCATCGTACTCATCATCTTCTTTTATTAATTTGGAAGGACGATCAATTCCTAGTCCTACACCGTCAACATGGACATTCCCCCTTCGAATAAAATTTCGAGAAATTGAACAAGCAATTAAGTATGTGAACACAAATCTTTATCCTCATCCATTCTCAGAAAAAAGATATTAAAAACAGATCATGACGAGTGGTAAAATACTAGACTCACTTATTGACTGGATTAACAATACCTTGACCATCAATGCCAAGTCCTTCACCTTCTTTCCAACCCATCTTTTCTAACATTTGAAAACCGACATTTTCACAAGTTAACTTGAACTGTTTGTATTCAGAAAAATCCGGTTCCCGACCTTCTTTCAATGCCTAGTTGCAAATTAAATATATTCTAAAAACTACCTAATATTCAACACAAAAATAAGCAATGTCTACGGTAAGCGAAAAAAAGTAGAAAGAAAACTAACAGAAGCATAGTGCATTGAGAACATTCCAGTCAACATTTATTTAATATGACACTCGAAATTCATTAAACATTGTCAGTGCGGATTCAAAGACAGACTTATCCCTAGAGATATTTAATTTTGAAGCTTATCAAGATTGAATGTGTTAATGTTAGCGATCAAGCAGTCTGAGAGAACAACATTCTCTGACCTTGAAGTGAGAGACTCGTGCTGGGATAGTAACAGGATTTCATACATGGTTTTCATGCTGGAGAATATGTTCAGCCAATCAAACATAAGTGAGAGATGGTGGAGAAGATTTGTAGCTCAAGGGGATGATTTTGATGGAGTTTTGTTCTCTGAGCTGGATGGTTTGGTCGTGGAGCTTTCATCGTTAATTTGAACGACATCATCAGCACAGCTTGTAGACAGAACAAGCTGTGAGAGATGTGAACGAGTGCACTCTTAACTTTTGAAGGAAACAGACATAAGTTGTTCATTAAAGATCTGCTTTTATTTCCTGAGGGAGATAGATATATATTTATGAATGAGTTGCGCATATGTTTCGATTTAGGTTAGCCAATAAAATTTCTCAATTTACCTTTGTTATTCTCACTCGGATGTAGGATGCGCACACATCACTTACAAACTCATACAACCACAGAGTATGATAGAAACATTTGTTATTTATTATTTATTTATTTATTTGAACACATAAATATTGGTACAGAGAGGTACCAAATATATATGCGCCACACAAAACAATGAGAATTTAAAGAGGAGAGAAAAAAAGTAATGAACGTGGGGAATTATAAAAAAAGGGGGAGAGAGAACAATAATGGGGGAAACGGAAAGGTACAATCAGAAGAAATCTTTCAGTTAAGGAAGGAGCAACCACTTTTTATGAAGAAAGTAAAAGAAGGTTACAGCACGATCGCCACTGGCTTCTATTCTGAGCCATATCTGATAACGTCTCTAGCCAATGTGTTACACCATCTCTCGGACCCCAGCCAGGGAGTCGTGAAGGTCCAACAGAAGCTAGCCCTTTGCAGCTTTCTTTCATACCACGACACCATGTCATATACTGACCACCTCTCCGCTTTTTCCAACCAGTCCCAGAGTCGGCAATAATGCACGACGAGAAATTCTCTGGGACGACATTCGTAGAACACGTCCAAGCCACCGAAGTCGGTGTTTCAAGATGGTAACACCAATTGCATTATCGTCTCTGTGCCCGAACACACGATGCCGAACCTCTGCATTACTAACATGGTGTTGCCACTGGATGTTAGCAATCCTTCGGAGACAGCGATGATCGAACACAGAGAGACGTCTAACATCCTCAACTCGGAGAGGCCAGGTTTCACAAGCATAGAGCCAAAACTGCTCTCACCGACGCGTTGTAGATCCGACCTTTTACAGCCAGACTAACATCACGAAGGCGCCAAAGATGGCCCAGATTGGCATAAGCCGCTCTGGCTTTCACTATACGTGCATTGATCTCGTCACTCACGCCACCACCAGCACTTATGCAGCTACCTAGATACACGAACTTCTCGACTACTTCTATCTGCTCACCATCCAGAGTGAGTACAGGATTAGAATCCTGCCAGTCTTGTAGAAGAAATTTGCACTTCTAAGGTGCGAAGCACATACCATACCTACGGACACTGATTGCCAACTGATTAAGTGCGGATTGCATATCTTGGGCATTCTCGCACAGTAAGACAATATCATCCGCATACTCAAGGTCGAGAAGTCTTTCTCCCAGGCAACAGATCCACACCACCATTACTTACATCCGTCAGAGCTGTTTCCAGAATGTCATCGATGGCAAAGTTGAAGAGGAATGGTGAGATTGGGCAACCCTGCCTAACCCCACTGCTTGGATGGAATAATGGAGAAAGGTGTTTGTGTATAGGGCTTTTAGGATGTTAATAAACTTCTCAGGCACACCCTTCTTCAATCACAGAGGGCAGTCATGTCCAACAAATCGAAGGCAGCCCTGATGTCAAGAAACACTACGATTGTTGGCCTTTGATAAGTATGGCGGTGTTCTAACACTTGGCGGAGGGTGAAGATATGATCAATACATCCTCGACCGGAACGAAACCCAGCCTGCTCCTCGCGAGTCAATCCTTCTCGAGTTCTGAACAACCTACGAAGTATGACGGAAGCCAATAGCTTGGACGCAATCGGAAGTAGACTTATCTCCCGATAGTTGTTACAGGAACGACGTGAACCCTTTTTAAAGATAGGGACAACTATCGACTTACTCCATGACGTTGGTACACTCTCTAGTTCCCAGACCTTTGTAAACAACATCGTCAGTCCCTTAGTCAGAAAGTCACCACCATCTTTAAAAAGAGCCAGAGGTAAGTCGTCTGGGCCCGGTGATTTGTAACGATTCAAGAGTTGGAGTTCCTTGAGGACTTCCGCCTCATTTGGTGGATCAGTCGTCACCGGCCATGGAGGGCAGGACAGTCTGACCGATGTTGCCGGAGCAGCAGGTCAGTTGAACTGCCCTTCAAAGAATTCTGCCCATCGTCCAAGACGTCGATGGATGTTAGTGATTGGCGTTCCGTCATCCTCGCAGATTGTTTCGCTCACACCAGACTTCTTGCTGCCAGTGGCTCGGATGAGTTGGAAGAGCTTCCGGTAATTACCAGATGCAGCTGCTGCTTCCAACTTATTAGCACGCTCCGACCACCAGGCTTCTCGGTCCTTACGTAAGCTTTGCCCGATTTCATTACGTAACAACCTTCGTCTGTGGTCAAACTCACGGTCACCCGGAGTAGACCGACGGGCTTCAATCAGTTGTAAGGAACCAGAAGAAACCCAGTGCTTATAAGCGGGACGTTTCGCGAACCCACAAGTGACTTTGCCCGCCATTTTCATGGCGTCATGCAATTGCAACCAATGCTCATCTATACTTTTCGGTGGAATGATAGCTAGCCTAGAAGCTAGCTCGGTCCGGTACTTACTAACAACAGAAGTTGCAGCCAGCTTGCTAACATCAATCCTTTGGTGGCGGTCACTTCGTTGTCCACTGAAAAGTAAGGTAAGATTGGCGCAGACCAGAGCATGATCAGATTCCAGATAGGTACTCCAAAAGGAGCGGCAGTCTTGTACACAACCACGCCAGCGGCAGCTGATCGCGATGTGATCAATCTGAGTCCAGGCTTGAGATGCAGAAGGGGGACGCCAGGTGGCACATCGGCGATGACTGTGCCGAAAGTTAGTGCTAGCCAGAAACAGGTTGTGGTCTGTGCATAGATGCAGCAGACGTTCCCCGTTATCTGTCCTGCGACCAACGAGTCCCCATCGGCCACCTAAACGACTCTCTTCTGTGCCTAGACGCCCGACCTGAGCATTCAAGTCTCCAGCTAGTACTACAATATCTGACGGACGCACTTTCTGGAGAACAGTTAACTGGTGGTAGAATTCATCCTTGATTGCATCCGGGCTGCAATCTGTCGGGGCATAGGCGGAGATGACGAAAAGACATCGTTTCTCACATTGATTTCTTCTCACTTTGATGAAACTTTCTAATCTAACAGCACATAACCGACTGTTAATGGGGATCCAATCGATTAGTGCTGCCTCAGCTCTATTGCTTAGTGCGACATCAACGCCAGCAAGACCAGACGAAGATGCCACAGGGTCCCCGAATAAACGCACACAAAACAAGCTTTGTGAAGCGACAGATGGAGATCGAACTTGTAGTACTTCACCAGAATCTTGAATACGGGTCTCGGATAGACAACACACGTCAATATGAAGACTTTCCAAAGACATAGCCAGCCCTATCTGTTGTCCGACCTGCATAAGTGTGCGAACGTTGAAGGCAGCCAGTTTGAATGGTGCAAGTGGTTTCAGAAAGACTGCTTCAGTACTCTTATTCGGTAGTAACATACAATTTTCAACCAGGCAGTGACTCGAGAACGTTTAGATAAAGCTGAATTTTCACCATAGGCGAGCTGCTGTCTAATTCAAAATGGATACATAAAGTGGAAAGAAAAGAGAGTGAATAAATGACGTAGTAAATAATAATAATAATAATAATAATAATAATAATAATAATAATAATAATAATAATAATAATAATAGTACCAGTCATTTCAATGTTAGTCGGAGAGAAACGAATATTTTCCATAAGCAGATAGTTCATCATAGTTTTAGTGTGTGGGCTGAGATACTGCCCGGGTGCCCAAACCGAAGCAGGTGGTTTTCTTAGGGGGCCAAACCCCGAGCCTTTGACCTAAAAGTCTTGTCCACAAGGCAGTGGAGCATCGTGAGAAGATGCAGTCCCATGGAAGCCGGTGACAAAATGTTGGTTCATACGCCATTTGTTTCTTCAGGATACTGGAGCCCATGTGCATCATTGGTTTGGGATCCGGCTATAGCGCCGTACATTCGCTTTTTGTCCTCTCATTTTCGTAAACAACACCCCCGCCAGGAGAAGGCAGTGAGTAGGACTTTCCTGGCAGAGGCTGTATACGCGTGGCCGTGTGAGAGTATTTCGAGAGGGAGGGCGAACCCTCCCTGCTCTCGGCCATACCAGAGAAACGGTTCCAACAATTGTTGAATTTCTCCTGTTTTACAAATACGTCAAAAACATTCGAGCTGTTCGTGCCTTTATGATGGTTGATTCCCTCGTGGTAACATGTTCAATAATTAAAGCATATTTTAATACATATGAGAATAATAATTATGCAACTTACACGGAAAGTTTCCATGAAACGCTCTAATTCGTCCGGTGGTAGAAAGTCTCCAATATGATGTTTTCCATGACCCATTTCAGTTAATTTCTGAGCCCATTCTATAAATTAAATAAAGATGTAAGAAACAAGTAGTGTGGATAGATAAATCACAAAAATCTACACAAAATGTCACGAAAATGTTATGTGAATAAAAGGTCAAAAATATTCTATGAAAGGAACTTTACAATTTAAAACAGAAACTAATCGAAATAAAATATATATTAGATTAATCATATTTCGAAGTCTATGGGAACGACATGAATGTTTGCAGAAAGATATACAGTTTGTGCATTGTCGCCTTATAAAATAAAAGATGGACAGGTTAACAGAACTTTACTTATTACTTATCTTACTTCGTGATCTATTTCTCCCTAATACGTTTTCTTACAAGTTTGTTGATTCAACTGTTACCTGATAATTAGCACAAAGTTTAGTAAATTCTTGAGATAAACTATGCGAGGTTGATCTTCACTCTTTTTCCTATAATCCTCATCATCTACGACCCCTATGTATATTCATAGCTCCATTGTTTCACTAACCAGATAAGTAGTTGTACTATATTTTGTAACAGAAATCCACTTCATCTAAGTTACCATTTGTACACTAAGTACCTACCATCCTCAAGTTTACAAAGTATATCTAAACCATAAATCTCAACTACGGGAAACTGAACATCCACTTGGAGCAAAGAAAAAAGATTACCTCGGGTTGCTTCCATTTCTGCTTGTCTTAATTTATGCTCCCATGTTCCATTTTCACAATCCTCATCGGAATCATACTCATATTTGATAACTAAACCATCCTTTGTAATTCTTGTTTTATTTCCATAATTTACACCCTCAATTCGATTCATAAGTTCTTCCTCTTTAGACTTTGATCGTTTTTGTGCTAAAATAAACTCTTGCATAGCTTGAAGCTGAGAAAATGACAACGTATAAAGATTTGATGTTAATTTGATTGCAAATTACTAATCAAATCAAAAAGAATTATTGGAACAAAGTATTTGGCAACAGATGAGATCTTTTGGTAAATTTTTAAAAAATCATCAAAGACAGAACTGAATAGTTATCTCATCTAGTTATGTGACTTTTTAGCATTACACTTATAATCTCATCACATCATATTTAACCAGCTGGTTACACAGTTAAAATGGTAAACGATGAATAATTGAGTTAGATTATAACAGATGATATATCTAATTGAGATGTCTTCCAATTTACAGACGATCAAATGTAAGATGGCACGAAAACGAATAGGCACTAGAGAACTATAAATGATTATATTGTCAGTCGACTGCACCAGTAAGTCAGTCAACTACACACAATGTAGAACCAAGGCTAGTAAGCGAAATCATTATTATTTCAATAAACGATAGTTTTGAAGGCTACAAGATAAACCATGTTTAGTTTAATTCGTACCTCATATTCGATTGTTTAGAATATATATTGCTGTGACAAAATGTATTTGATTTGTAAGGACAGAGAGATGGTTTTATTCATAATACCTAAATAGAAGGCTGATATTTTGGTATCAGTAGTTTGAAATAAGTCAAGTAAGAGAACATTTCAACGGAAATTTCAAAAAAAAACCCGGGTGAACAAGTAACGGTAAACTTTTTCTTCAACTGCGACCACATAAACGTCAAGTTTTACGGAGTATCAATTTTAGGACGAAGGAGAAGACATCATTAATCTTGAATCAAAATTGGATACAGATAGGAGAGATAATTAGTAATCACCGTTCGAAAAATCAATAAGGGACTACTGATGTTGATCGGGAAACGATATGGTTAAACTATGATCTAGAGCAGACGAAAATACCAATGTACTCCAAAGCTTCACTACGAACCAGCAAAAGAATATTTCACATTAAAAGTGCAAGAGATTTAACCAAAGCTCTAATCCAAGACGCTCAAAATGTTCTCCATCTTGCAAGCATTTTCACTATAACAGGTATGTGATCTGCGCACTACGAAGCGCTTATACAAAAGACAAACGACTGCAATGCATGTGACCGTCATTTCACCAATACTGATAAGTATTTATCTATCTTTACTGACTAGAACTCGATACATTATATTTTCCGACTTCTAACTGCTATTACTAGCATAAAAAAATGGAGAGATTGATGAATTCCGTAGTTTTACTTCTCTTGTTAACTAATGCTATCTTTGGTGCAAATAGTGTCTATCTATCTATCGAACAGTGGGTATACAATATTCTAACTTGTGTTACTTCCCAGTTGTGAAGTATGGCTTTCTAAAAACACGAAAGTGAATCGTAAGTACTTTATCACTGGCGTTTTTAAAGCACCGTTTTTGCATGGCAGAATCTCAAGATGACCACTACTGATGTTATATATAGACTAGAGACTGGTGGATCTTTTCTTAACTACATGGATGTAGGCAGCACTGTTTTCCCCATAAACGCAAACAAAGCTACACTGGTTTCACCGGACCACATGACAGAAACCAAATCGATATCCGTATCAATAACAAATTTGGAGGGTTCAAGAAAGGCGTAAGAACAAATAAACTGATTTGGCTTCAGATCATTATTTGGTGGTGGCCACGCTGGGGAAGCATTGAACTATTGGACAAGCAGTACTAAAAAATTTAGTACAGTTCTCCTTCCATATGCTCACAAGCTCGGTGAACTTAAGATAGGTCTCAGCAACAAGTTATAAGCCTTACAAGATCTACTCACAGAAGAGGAAACCACTATGGAAAAATGGAAGAAGATTAAAGGAGGGAAAACTTTGATATATCAGGAAATGGTGGCATCCAAAAAGCACCAGAACACCGAAAAGGTCTCTATTGACAGCCCGGACAGCGTTTCAGGAAGACAAGACAAGAAAACAGTCAACAACAGTCAGACAAAATCAGAGCAAATCAAGGCACAAGTTGAAAATACGAAAGTAAATAAAAGACGATTGAAAAGCGTTAGAGTTGGGAAGATGAAATATGTACAAGACCTAGCAATGACAGAACAGGCTGCAACATAAAGAAATGTGTAAACCATATGATACGACCAAGAAGCAAGCGGGGAAATATAGTAAACAAGAGCGACCAGTCAAGAACAAGAAAGGGAAATAAATAACTGAGGTTCAAGGGCAGTCGAACAGGTGTATAGAGTACTTCGTAAAGCACTTGAATAGATCAGGTATACCGAACTCCCAAAAGCATCAAAGAATAAACAGACCTCCATATATATGGTGCTCCATCAACAATACAATAGAATATATCTGGGTAGCATCAGTGATAAACAAGGAGGATCTGGCTCCGATGTGACGGCACGAATTGAGAAAGCAAGGGTAGCACTACTACAATCAATGAATATCTGTAACTCTAAACAACCGTCACACTAAACAAAAGTCAAAATTTTTAACACAAGAATTAGAAACGTTCTACTGTACGGAGCTGAAACTTAGAGAACAGCTACAACTACCAGCTTCAGTTTAGGTACCCGTGCAGTATAACAGCCCTCACACAAATCAATTGAGATTTCTGTGGCGCATATGTTTTCTGGTGCCTTCTTGTACCAGTATTTATGTGTTCAAATAATAATAATAATAACAATAATAATAATTATTATTATTATTATAATCCAGAAGGTACAAATATTGATGAAGTCAGTTACCCAAAGTACTCTAAATCTGTTGGCTGCCCCCAAATACACTGGTATGGCAGAGAGTGGGGTAGGTCCGCCCTCTCTCTCTAAGTACTCTTACACGGCCACGCATATACAGCCTCTGCCAGGAAAGTCCTACTCACTGCCTTCTCGTGGCGGGGGTGTTGTTTACGAAAATGAGAGGACAAAAAGCGAATGTACGGCGCTATAGCCGGATCCCAAACCAATGATGCACATGGGCTCCAGTATCCTGAAGAAACAAATGGCGTATGAACCAACATTTTGTCACCGGCTTCCATGGGACTGCATCTTCTCACGATGCTCCACTGCCTTGTGGACAAGACTTTTAGGTCAAAGGCTCGGGGTTTGGCCCCCTAAGAAAACCACCTGCTTCGGTTTGGGCACCCGGGCAGTATCTCAGCCCACACACTAAAACTATGATGAACTATCTGCTTATGGAAAATATTCGTTTCTCTCCGACTAACATTGAAATGACTGGTACTATTATTATTATTATTATTATTATTATTATTATTATTATTATTATTATTATTTACTACGTCATTTATTCACTCTCTTTTCTTTCCACTTTATGTATCCATTTTGAATTAGACAGCAGCTCGCCTATGGTGGAAATTCGGCTCTATCTAAACGTTCTCGAGTCACTGCCTGGTTGAAAATTGTATGTTACCACTAAATACGAGTAATGAAGCAGTTCTCCTGAAATCATTTTATTTATTTTAACACATAAGTATAGGTACAGGGAGGCACAAGTACATATGTGCCACACAGATCTCATTTGGTATGTGTGAGGGCTGTGATACTGCCCGGGTGCCCAAACCGAAGCAGGTGGTCTTCTTAAGGGGCCACACCCCGAGCCTTCGACCTCAAGATCTGATCCACAAAGCAGTGGAGCATCGTAAGGAGATTCAGTCTCATGGAAGCCGGTGACCAAGAAATTGGTTCATACGCCATTTGTTCCTTCAGGATACTGGAGCCCATGTGCATCATTGGTTTGGGGTCCGGTTAAAGCGCCGTACATTCGCTTTTGGTCCACTCATTTTTGTAAACAACACCGCCGCCACGAGAAGGCAATGAGTAGGATTTCCCTGGCAGAGGCTGTATCCGCATGGCCATGTGAGAGCATTTCGAGAGGGAGAGCGGACTCTCCCTACTCTCAGCCGTACCAGGGCATTCAAACTGGCTGCCTTCAACGTTCGCACACTTATGCAGGTCGGACAACAGATAGGGCTGGCTATGTCTTTGGAAAGTCTTCATATTGACGTGTGTTGTCTATCCGAGACCCGTATTCAAGATTCTGGTGAAGTACTACAAGTTCGATCTCCATCTGTCGCTTCACAAAGCTTGTTTTGTGTGCGTTTATTCGGGGACCCTGTGGCATCTTCGTCTGGTCTTGCTGGCGTTGATGTCGCACTAAGCAATAGAGCTGAGGCAGCACTAATCGATTGGATCCCCATTAACAGTCGGTTATGTGCTGTTAGATTAGAAAGTTTCATCAAAGTGAGAAGAAATCAATGTGAGAAACGATGTCTTTTCGTCATCTCCGCCTATGCCCCGACAGATTGCAGCCCGGATGCAATCAAGGATGAATTCTACCACCAGTTAACTGTTCTCCAGAAAGTGCGTCCGTCAGATATTGTAGTACTAGCTGGAGACTTCAATGCTCAGGTCGGGCGTCTAGGCACAGAAGAGAGTCGTTTAGGTGGCCGATGGGGACTCGTTGGTCGCAGGACAGATAACGAGGAACGTCTACTGCATCTATGCACAGACCACAACCTGTTTCTGGCTAGCACTAACTTTCGTCCAAGCTATTGGCTTCCGTCATACTACGTAGGTTGTTCAGAACTCGAGAAGGATTGACTCGCGAGGAGCAGGCTGGGTTTCGTTCTGGTCGAGGATGTATTGATCATATCTTCACCCTCCGCCAAGTGTTAGAACACCGCCATACTTATCAAAGGCCAACAATCGTAGTGTTTCTTGATATCAAGGCTGCTTTCGATTCGTTGGACAGAACTGTTCTCTGGGATTGTCTATTGAAGAGGGGTGTGCCTGAGAAGTTTATTTACATCCTAAAAGCCTTATATACAAACACCTCAGGTAGAGTGAGGGCATACAACCACCTTTCTCCACTATTCCATTCAAGCAGTGGAGTTAGGCAGGGTTGCCCAATCTCACCATTCCTCTTCAACTTTGCCATAGATGACATTCTGGAAACAGATCTGACGGATGTAAGTAATGGTGGTGTGGATCTGTTGCCTGGAGAAAGACTTCTCGACCTTGAGTATACGGATGATATTGTCTTACTGTGCGAGAATGCCCAAGCCATGCAATCCGCACTTAATCAGTTGGCAATCAGTGTCCGTAGGTATGGTATGTGCTTCGCACCTTAGAAGTGCAAATTTCTTCTACAAGACTGGCAGGATTCTAATCCTGTACTCACTCTGGATGGTGAGCAGATAGAAGTAGTCGAGAAGTTCGTGTATCTAGGTAGCTGCATAAGTGCTGGTGGTGGCGTGAGTGATGAGATCAATGCACGTATAGTGAAAGCCAGAGCGGCTTATGCCAATCTGGGCCATCTTTGGCGCCTTCGTGATGTTAGTCTGGCTGTAAAAGGTCGGATCTACAACGCGACGGTGAGAGCAGTTTTGCTCTATGCTTGTGAAACCTGGCCTCTCCGAGTTGAGGATGTTAGACGACTCTCTGTGTTCGATCATCGTTGCCTCCGAAGGATTGCTGGCATCCAGTGGCAACACCATGTCAGTAATGCAGAGGTTCGGCATCGAGTGTTCGGTCACAGAGACGATAATGAAATTGGTGTCACCATCTTGAAACACCGACTTCGGTGGCTTGGACATGTTCTACGAATGTCGTCCCAGAGAATTCCTCGTCGTGCATTATTTGCCGACTCTGGGACTGGTTGGAAAAAGCGGAGAGGTGGTCAGTATATGACATGGTGTCGTGGTATGAAAGAAAGCTGCAAAGGGCTAGCTTATGTTGGTCCTTCACGACTCCCTGGTTGGGGTCCGAGAGATGGTGTAACGCAGTGGCTAGAGACGTTATCAGATATGGCTCAGAATAGAAGCCAGTGGCGATAATGCTGTAACCTTCTTTTACTTTCTTCATAAAAAGGTGGTCGTATTCTTCCTTAACTGAAAGATCTGTTCTGATTGTACCTTTCCGTTTCCCCCACCATTGTTCTCTCTCTCTCTCTTCTTTTTTTTTATAATTCCCCACGTTCATTACTTTTTTTTTCTTCTCTTTTCTCCTTCTCTTCTAATTATCACTGTTTTGTGTGGCGCATATATATTTGGTGCCCCCCTGTACCAATATTTATGTGTTCAAATAAATAAATAAATAAATAGCACTAACTTTCGGCACAGTCATCGCCGATGTGCCACCTGGCGTCCCCCTTCTGCATCTCAAGCCTGGACTCAGATTGATCACATCGCGATCAGCTGCCGCTGGCGTGGTTGTGTACAAGACTGCCGCTCCTTTTGGAGTACCTATCTGGAATCTGATCATGCTCTGGTCTGCGCCAATCTTACCTTACTTTTCAGTGGACAACGAAGTGACCGCCACCAAAGGATTGATGTTAGCAAGCTGGCTGCAACTTCTGTTGTTAGTAAGTACCGGACCGAGCTAGCTTCTAGGCTAGCTATCATTCCACCGAAAAGTATAGATGAGCATTGGTTGCAATTGCATGACGCCATGAAAATGGCGGGCAAAGTCACTTGTGGGTTCGCGAAACGTCCCGCTTATAAGCACTGGGTTTCTTCTGGTTCCTTACAACTGATTGAAGCCCGTCGGTCTACTCCGGGTGACCGTGAGTTTGACCACAGACGAAGGTTGTTACGTAATGAAATCGGGCAAAGCTTACGTAAGGACCGAGAAGCCTGGTGGTCGGAGCGTGCTAATAAGTTGGAAGCAGCAGCTGCATCTGGTAATTACCGGAAGCTCTTCCAACTCATCCGAGCCACTGGCAGCAAGAAGTCTGGTGTGAGCGAAACAATCTGCAAGGATGACGGAACGCCAATCACTAACATCCATCGACGTCTTGGACGATGGGCAGAATTCTTTGAAGGGCAGTTCAACTGACCTGCTGCTCCGGCAACATCGGTCAGACTGTCCTGCCCTCCATGGCCGGTGACGACTGATCCACCAAATGAGGCGGAAGTCCTCAAGGAACTCCAACTCTTGAATCGTTACAAATCACCGGGCCCAGACGACTTACCTCTGGCTCTTTTTAAAGATGGTGGTGACTTTCTGACTAAGGGACTGACGATGTTGTTTACAAAGGTCTGGGAACTAGAGAGTGTACCAACGTCATGGAGTAAGTCGATAGTTGTCCCTATCTTTAAAAAGGGTTCACGTCGTTCCTGTAACAACTATCGGGAGATAAGTCTACTTCCGATTGCGTCCAAGCTATTGGCTTCCGTCATACTTCGTAGGTTGTTCAGAACTCGAGAAGGATTGACTCGCGAGGAGCAGGCTGGGTTTCGTTCCGGTCGAGGATGTATTGATCATATCTTCACCCTCCGCCAAGTGTTAGAACACCGCCATACTTATCAAAGGCCAACAATCGTAGTGTTTCTTGACATCAGGGCTGCCTTCGATTTGTTGGACATGACTGCCCTCTGTGATTGAAGAAGGGTGTGCCTGAGAAGTTTATTAACATCCTAAAAGCCCTATACACAAACACCTTTCTCCATTATTCCATCCAAGCAGTGGGGTTAGACTGTTGCCCAATCTCACCATTCCTCTTCAACTTTGCCATAGATGACATTCTGGAAACAGATCTGACGGATGTAAGTAATGGTGGTGTGGATCTGTTGCCTGGAGAAAGACTTCTCGACCTTGAGTATGCGGATGATATTGTCTTACTGTGCGAGAATGCCCAAGCCATGCAATCCGCACTTAATCAGTTGGCAATCAGTGTCCGTAGGTATGGTATGTGCTTCGCACCTTAGAAGTGCAAATTTCTTCTACAAGACTGGCAGGATTCTAATCCTGTACTCACTCTGGATGGTGAGCAGATAGAAGTAGTCGAGAAGTTCGTGTATCTAGGTAGCTGCATAAGTGCTGGTGGTGGCGTGAGTGATGAGATCAATGCACGTATAGTGAAAGCCAGAGCGGCTTATGCCAATCTGGGCCATCTTTGGCGCCTTCGTGATGTTAGTCTGGCTGTAAAAGGTCGGATCTACAACGCGTCGGTGAGAGCAGTTTTGCTCTATGCTTGTGAAACCTGGCCTCTCCGAGTTGAGGATGTTAGACGTCTCTCTGTGTTCGATCATCGCTGTCTCCGAAGGATTGCTAACATCCAGTGGCAACACCATGTTAGTAATGCAGAGGTTCGGCATCGTGTGTTCGGGCACAGAGACGATAATGCAATTGGTGTTACCATCTTGAAACACCGACTTCGGTGGCTTGGACGTGTTCTACGAATGTCGTCCCAGAGAATTTCTCGTCGTGCATTATTGCCGACTCTGGGACTGGTTGGAAAAAGCGGAGAGGTGGTCAGTATATGACATGGTGTCGTGGTATGAAAGAAAGCTGCAAAGGGCTAGCTTCTGTTGGACCTTCACGACTCCCTGGCTGGGGTCCGAGAGATGGTGTAACACATTGGCTAGAGACGTTATCAGATATGGCTCAGAATAGAAGCCAGTGGCGATCGTGCTGTAACCTTCTTTTACTTTCTTCATAAAAAGTGGTTGCTCCTTCCTTAACTGAAAGATTTCTTCTGATTGTACCTTTCCGTTTCCCCCATTATTGTTCTCTCTCCCCCTTTTTTTATAATTCCCCACGTTCATTACTTTTTTTCTCTCCTCTTTAAATTCTCATTGTTTTGTGTGGCGCATATATATTTGGTGCCTCTCTGTACCAATATTTATGTGTTCAAATAAATAATAAATAAAATAAATAAATAATCTGTTTGCTAGAGGTTATCGACATTACTTTACTGTGTCAGAAAACAGATCAGCTGCCAGTTAAGGAGAAAACCAGAAGACGATAGGACTGGACAGGACAGTATATGAAAACCTTTGAACTACGCCACAATGCAAGCTCTAACTTTTGATCTTCAAAGCATGAAGAAAGGTTATACCAAAACATACGTGGTGCTAAGAGATGATTCGAGACCACTTATCGATGGACTAAGACCCATGAGGGATAGAGAGTCCAGGTAAGATCATAATCTCTCTGGTACAGTTTGACAAGTGCAGAAAATTGAACAATCAGAAATGAAAGTAAGACAATCTTTGGTTATCATTGTTGAACAGTCTTCAAAGTGAGTTGAAATTAGACGATCTCCATCGGAGATAGTGAAGTTTGTTATTAATATCATAGGATTTCGTGAAATTAAGGAACATGAGATTTGAAGACAGTGGTGCAGAATACTACACCGCTTAAAATGTAAAGTCACTCATTAAAAGGAAAACCACTAAGTTATATTATTTGAGGATAAATCAAGTTGCGGGTTTACCCAAACCATAAACGTCGCTACAAACAAAGCTTTCACCGTTAAAAATAATACATAATACCTTAGAGAACTGATATAAACATGCCATAACTGACAACGTACTTCCTTTTGATAACGTATCTGTTCAGCTTGCTCAGGTGTAAGTACAACACCGCCTGTGAACTGATTTGGATTAGAAGTAGTTCCTAAAATCAGCAAGCACATTGTATCAGTAAATAGAGAAAACACCAACTCAGAGACAAAAATCAAGCATTTTAGCCTATTTACCAAGCAAATACTTTCACATGAATTCAAAATAAATGAATTTCCAGATAAATTTACTTTGACGTTAACTCTTCAGATCTTCAGTCAGTCAGTAACAACGTAAAACTTCGCACGTACGTACATCGGTTCGACTTGCCATACCACATTAGCACAGAGATTCAGTTATCGATTCAAATCCCGTAATGGTAGAGGTAGTGAAAGTAGTGATAGGGAACATTAGGGTATGATGATGTTATTTAAGGAGTATAATCCAGTGAAGTAGATTTGGAAAGAAAATAAAGGACATGAAGAATTCAGAAGATTAGAGTTTGAGAGAACACAAAGTGTGGATGCACCTGCGCCATCGCAAACGATCTTAGATTGAAAAGCTCAAACTTAACAAGAGAGGGAAAGCAGCAGATAGTGATTGGTTGACTCTCGGAGTCATGAAAGTTAAAAGTAGTCCCATGTAGTCATTAAGAGTTGGTAACTGAGCTAGTATGCGAGAAAAGATAAGGATTTTCTTCGGATGACCAAAGAGAAATTAGTTTGACTGGTATGGCTTTTAAAATATCAGCTTACATAATAATGCAGTGTTTTACTAGTCTAAGAGCAATAAACACGAAGAAACCAGACATTTAAGAACTATGTGAATGCATAGACTAAATATTTATCATTCCAGTCGTATAGAAAGTGATTGCCTACATACGCGATTCTAAAACAATCTCGAGGCTCCCGACACAGTTTTAGCTTGACCAAGGTCAGAACAAGTAAACTAGCTGGCTTAATAGACCTTATCTGTTTCTAAAACGTAAATTAACACTGTTAGTACACAAAAAACAATCAACACAGTCTATTAAATAGGGGAAACATAAATAACATACCGAACAGAAACTGGAGGACAGGAAAAATGAATCAACAAAACTTAAAACCGTTTATGACAAACATGAAAGACGGTGATTAGTGAATACACATGGTCCAGTCACATAAAGTCAGAGAAAGTCGTGGTGAAGCGTTTATTGCTATCATTGGTTGACTCGTTTATCGACCACGTCTTACACTCCTCCCGAAAAGACAATCACGTCGATCGTCCTGGATTATCAGAGTTGAAACCTGGCTTCTCCAAGTAAGCGTAGTTCTCATACATCTCGAACGATTTCTTTAGTTGTCATCCTCAACTTCGCCGTGTGGACTGTTCCGTCAGGACTATAGCTTCCTCGCTCGACAATGGCTTTTGGTCATAGACTCCTACTTGCTTCAATGTTGCTAACGAGTAATAAATTTCTTGATTGTAACTTTTTCATATGTCCAACCATTTATCCCCTACTTCAATGGTGGGCAGATATTCTAGTATTCGTTTATTCCAAAACACGGTAGTTAACCTCTGTGCTTCCTCAGATATATTATATAATGAAGTTTCGTCATTGAACGCTGGTTCAAATGATATTTTATAAATCAACCACGACTTTTTCGGACTAAGTGCCTCCAGGATGCCAAACTCATATGTGACCTTGATGTATCTCCATTCGTTTGGTGTGGATAACTCATGTATAGTTGCTAACCTATAACTCACAAACCTTTCGAACCTTTCAGTTTTCCTTATTATACAATGAAGCACGACCAACGAACCTGTCCGATAAGCGACCGAGAAAATGGGGGTATTTAGCTGTCCTTCTACATGCTTTTTAATCGTAACACATAGCACGCAGACCATTAGCTACGTTCTAGGAGTCTTAACAAGTTTCAAGGAAATGATCCTAGACTTAGCCAGCGCAACTGTAGAGTTTCTGACTCCAGACCAGAGGGTTGCGTGTTCGAATCACATCGGGCTCAGCGGTTTTGCTCCCTCAAATGTCCTGATACGACCGATGGTGAAGTGAGTTTACGCTCCCTCTTGAATTGCTTTCAAATGGCCGCGCGTATGCAGCCAGTGTCAGGGAAGTCCTACTCACTGCGAAGGTGTTGTTTACGAAACCGAGTGGACGAAAAGCGAATTTCCGGTGCTTTAACCGGGTTAGTGGATATGGAGGATCCACCAAGAGAAATTAGAAAACCCTGATTCCAAACCAAAGGTGCACATAGGCTCCAGGATTCTGAGGCAACAAATGGCGTAGGAATCTATTGTTGGTCACCGACTAACATGAGACCTTACCTCTTAACGTTTATCAACTGCCTTGTGGATTAGACCTTTAGCTAAAATGCTCGGGGTGTGACATCCTAAGAAAACCACCTACTTTGGTTTGAGCATCCGGGCAATATTCCAGACCTCACACAAATCGAATGATTTGTGTGGCGCATATATATTTGGTTCTTCTATGTACCACTTTCATAACGAATAGGTGTGATAGCACCATATGCAAGCTCGGAAGTATCAGCGAAACAATGAATTTGAACGGATAATGGTTTCGATTCTTCTTCCTTGCCCCCAAATGCCCTGGTATGGCCGAGAGCGGGGAGGGTTCGCCCTCCCTCTCGAAATACTCTCACACGGCCACGCGTGTACAGCCTCTGCCAGGGAAGTCCTACTCACTGCCTTCTCGTGGCGGGGGTGTTGTTTACGAAAATGAGAGGACGAAAAGCGAACGTCCGGCGCTATAACCGGATCCCAATTCTATGGTGCACATGGGCTCCAGTATCCTGAAGGAACAAATGGCGTATGAACCAACATTTTGTCACCGGCTTCCATGGGACTGCATCTCCTCACGATGCTCCACTGCCTTGTGGACTAGACCTTTAGGTCAAAGGCTCGGGGTTTGGCCCCCTAAGAAAACCACCTGCTTCGGTTTGGGCACCCGGGCAGTATCTCAGCCCACACACCAAAACATGATGAAATATTCGCTTACGGAAAATATTCGTTTTTCTCTGACTAACACTGAAATGACTGATACTATTATTATTATTATTATTGTTAGTATTATTATTATTATTATTTACTACGTCATTTACTCACTATCTCCTATTTCTACTTTTTGTATCCGTTTCGACTCAGACAGCAGCTCGCCTATGGTAAAAATTCAGCTTTATCTAAACGTTCTCGAGTCACTGCCTGGTTGAAAATTGTATGTTACCATCGAATACGAGTACTGAAGCAGTCTTTCTGAAACCACGCGCACCATTCAAACTGGCTGCCTTTAACGTTCGCACACTTATGCAGGTCGGACAACAGATAGGGCTGGCAATGTCTTTGGAAGGTCTTAATATTGATGTGTGTTGTCTATCCGAGACCCGTATTCAAGACTCTGGTGAAGTACTACAAGTTCGCTCTCCATCTGTCGCTCCAAAAAGCTTGTTTTACGTGCGTTTATTCGGGGACCCTGTGGCATCTTCGTCTGGTCTTGCTGGCGTTGGTGTCGCACTAAGCGCAAGAGCTGAGGCAGCACTAGTCGACTGGATCCCCATTAACAGTCGGTTATGTGCTGTTAGATTAGAAAGTACCATCAGAGTGGGAAGAAATCGGCGTGTGAAACGATGTCTTTTCGTCATCTCCGCCTATGCCCCGACAGATTGCAGCCCGGATGCAATCAAGGACGAGTTCTACCACCAGTTATCTGTTCTTCTCCAGAAAGTGCGTTCGACAGATATTGTAGTACTAGCCGGAGACTTGAATGCTCAGGTCGGGCGTCTAGGCACAGAAGAGAGTCGTTTAGGTGGCCGATGGGGACTCGTTGGTCGCAGGACAGATAACGGGGAACGTCTACTGCAACTATGCACAGACCACAACCTGTTTCTGGCTAGCACTAACTTTCGGCACAGTCATCGCCGATGTGCCACCTGGCGTCCCCCTTCTGCATCTCAAGCCTGGACTCAGATTGATCACATCGCGATCAGCTACCGCTGGCGTGGTTGTGTACAAGACTGCCGCTCCTTTTGGAGTACCTATCTGGAATCTGATCATGCTCTGGTCTGCGCCAATCTTACCTTACTTTTCAGTGGACAACGAAGTGACCGCCACCAAAGGATTGATGTTAGCAAGCTGGCTGCAACTTCTGTTGTTAGTAAGTACCGAACCGAGCTAGCTTCTAGGCTAGCTATCATTCCACCGAAAAGTATAGATGAGCATTGGTTGCAATTGCATGACGCCATGAAAATGGCGGGTCAAGTCAGCTGTGGGATTGCGAAACGTCCCGCTTACAAGCACTGGGTTTCTTCTGGTTCCTTACAACTGATTGAAGCCCGTCGGTCTACTCCGGGTGACCGTGAGTTTGACCACAGACGAAGGTTGTTACGTAATGAAATCGGGCAAAGCTTGCGTAAGGACCGAGAAACCTGGTGGTCGGAGCGTGCCAGTGAGTTGGAAGCAGCAGCTGCATCTGGTAATTACCGGAAGCTCTTCCAACTCATCCGAGCCACCGGCAGCAAGAAGTCTGGTGTGAGCGAAACAATCTGCAAGGATGACGGAACGCCAATCACTAACATCCATCGACGTCTTGGACGATGGGCAGAATTCTTTGAAGGGCAGTTCAACTGGCCTGCTGCTCCGGCAACATCGGTCAGACTGTCCTGCCCTCCTTGGCCGGTGACGACTGATCCACCAAATGAGGCGGAAGTCCGCAAGGAACTCCAACTCTTGAAACGTTACAAATCACCGGGCCCAGACGACTTACCCCCGGCTCTTTTTAAAGATGGTGGTGACTTTCTGACTAAAGGACTGACGACGTTGTTTACAAAGATCTGGGAACTAGAGAGTGTACCAACGTCATGGAATGAGTCGATAGCTGTCCCTATCTTTAAAAAGGGTTCACGTTGTTCCTGTAACAACTATCGGGGGATAAGTCTACTTCCGATTGCGTCCAAGCTATTGGCTTCCGTCATACTTCGTAGGTTGTTCAGAACTCGAGAAGGATTGACTCGCGAGGAGCAGGCTGGGTTTCGTTCTGGTCGAGGATGTATTGATCATATCTTCACCCTCCGCCAAGTGTTAGAACACCGCCATACTTATCAAAGGCCAACAATCGTAGTGTTTCTTGATATCAAGGCTGCTTTCGATTCGTTGGACAGAACTGTTCTCTGGGATTGTCTATTGAAGAGGGGTGTGCCTGAGAAGTTTATTTACATCCTAAAAGCCTTATATACAAACACCTCAGGTAGAGTGAGGGCATACAACCACCTTTCTCCACTATTCCATTCAAGCAGTGGAGTTAGGCAGGGTTGCCCAATCTCACCATTCCTCTTCAACTTTGCCATAGATGACATTCTGGAAACAGATCTGACGGATGTAAGTAATGGTGGTGTGGATCTGTTGCCTGGAGAAAGACTTCTCGACCTTGAGTATACGGATGATATTGTCTTACTGTGCGAGAATGCCCAAGCCATGCAATCCGCACTTAATCAGTTGGCAATCAGTGTCCGTAGGTATGGTATGTGCTTCGCACCTTAGAAGTGCAAATTTCTTCTACAAGACTGGCAGGATTCTAATCCTGTACTCACTCTGGATGGTGAGCAGATAGAAGTAGTCGAGAAGTTCGTGTATCTAGGTAGCTGCATAAGTGCTGGTGGTGGCGTGAGTGATGAGATCAATGCACGTATAGTGAAAGCCAGAGCGGCTTATGCCAATCTGGGCCATCTTTGGCGCCTTCGTGATGTTAGTCTGGCTGTAAAAGGTCGGATCTACAACGCGACGGTGAGAGCAGTTTTGCTCTATGCTTGTGAAACCTGGCCTCTCCGAGTTGAGGATGTTAGACGACTCTCTGTGTTCGATCATTGTTGCCTCCGAAGGATTGCTGGCATCCAGTGGCAACACCATGTCAGTAATGCAGAGGTTCGGCATCGAGTGTTCGGGCACAGAGACGATAATGAAATTGGTGTTACCATCTTGAAACACCGACTTCGGTGGCTTGGACATGTTCTACGAATGTCGTCCCAGAGAATTTCTCGTCGTGCATTATTTGCCGACTCTGGGACTGGTTGGAAAAAGCGGAGAGGTGGTCAGTATATGACATGGTGTCGTGGTATGAAAGAAAGCTGCAAAGGGCTAGCTTATGTTGGTCCTTCACGACTCCCTGGTTGGGGTCCGAGAGATGGTGTAACGCAGTGGCTAGAGACGTTATCAGATATGGCTCAGAATAGAAGCCAGTGGCGATAATGCTGTAACCTTCTTTTACTTTCTTCATAAAAAGGTGGTCGTATTCTTCCTTAACTGAAAGATCTGTTCTGATTGTACCTTTCCGTTTCCCCCACCATTGTTCTCTCTCTCTCTCTTCTTTTTTTTATAATTCCCCACGTTCATTACTTTTTTTTTTCTTCTCTTTTCTCCTTCTCTTCTAATTATCACTGTTTTGTGTGGCGCATATATATTTGGTGCCCCCCTGTACCAATATTTATGTGTTCAAATAAATAAACAAAGAAATAAATAAATAAATATTCGATTTTGGTTTTAGATATCTTGGTATTAAGGCACTCAACTTTTTTATGTGCCTACACCAAATTCTCCACTTCGTTTGACAATCCATGGGTAGCTCTACGTCTCAGTCTAGTTTCTGTCGACAGATATCTTGTAAGATCGTTTTGGTTGGTAATATTATTGAAGCTATAAACCCTAACTGGATCACAAATAGATGCTACATACGACAAAGTAATTCTTCTTATTGAGTTTCTGTGAAATGCATGAGCTTCGAAACACAGTTCATCAGTTCGGACGTTTAACTCCAGTGTTTGTTTACTTGCCTCGTTGAACTCACAAACGAAAGTGTTTCTTTCAATACGGTCTTCCTCTGGAATGAACTTAAGCACTGTTATTAGTCCATTTAGTTAATTTAGATCCTCCTACGCTTAGAATGATTTTGAAATGTGAATATATCAATCAGAAGTCGTTTTCTGCAAAGCGAACGTAGCGCAGTATGACGATGAGATTGTTCTGAACAGAAGAACTTTCATCACATAGACCTCTGGTTCCTTTCTAAGTCCCCCCCTGACCAACACAAATACCTGAATGTTTGGATCGTGTAGCGGAAATACTACTTGGTGACACATGGCTATAATGTCCGCCATAAGACTTATTAGGCGTCGCCGAAACTTGGTGAAGATATCTACTAAGTTATTGACTAAATCAGGTTCAGAATCAAGATTCTTGTGTCAAAGACGTCCCGGTCTACTGAGCTGTACAATCGAACACAATGCTTAACTTTTTGGGCTTCTTGGGATAGAAAACAGGGCAATGAGAAGGATACCAAATTCGATCATCGATTTGGTTATTCTTTATCTTTTTAGCATAATGCCGTCCTACATGCCTAGTCATAGTGCTGACATAAACTTGAAGTAACTTCTCATCCCAACTAAGTCGACCCTTAAAACAGCTAAGTCTACTTTCCGTTAATCTGTTACCAGGTAATTAATGTACATATTGCTGAAAACAAAACAAAAGAAATATAAGTTTGATAAAGTTACCTTGAGTTTTTGCAGCAGCTGCAGCAGCTTTTGCTAGTGCGATCGCAGAAGCCAAAGACCCATCCGGGAAATCTTTTACTGATCCATTTATTTTAGGTTCATTGGCTTTTTCGTCCCATCTGGAGCGACGTCGTTTGTTGGGGATAAATTCATCATTTTCTGATTTGCAAATATCTACAGTTTCAGGTTCTAAGACACAAAATGTGTTATTGAACATGAAGTTCTAAATAAACTGTTACTAAGCACTAATTGTTAACAACACATCTGAATCAAATGTCTTAAAATACATCTTACATTCAACCACATCTGGAAATCAATGGAAACCCATCACCTAACTTAAATAAAAAAATAAATCTGATGATAGCAATGACCCATTGTTTTTCACAATCTTGCACACGATATATAACCCTAGTGTGAGACTTACGACATCCGAGAAACGTGTATCACTTTGAAAGCATAGCTAAGGCACAGAACTAGTTTTATAACTGCTTAGATTCCCAAACAACGCAATAGTTAAATAACAGTTCTCATATTTTTAATGACAATTTTGAGCTTGACTAAGTATTCAGATCAAGTTAATCTATATGAGAGGATTTAGGATGACGGGTAGAATAGCAGATACCAATAAATCAAGATAACAAATACAAGCATAATCATTGTGAAAGACAGTGAATCTTAGGTAGTGAGTGGTCTTGGTGGGGAAAACCAATTTATTATTTTATGCAAAATTACAGTTTTTGGGAAATATGAAACTCATACATTAAATGTATTATTTGCACATATAGTTGTCCTGTACATTGTTCCAACTCAGTTTTTATTCCAATTTCTCTGTTACCCTTTCTCTTCTATTTATTTCAATCTTCTGCTGGTAGATATCCCACTTCCGATTGCTACTACATACTACTTATATCTGTTAGCGTAAGCAACATACACCACACCTATTGATGATTTCATTTACACAGATGTCGCGCGGTTGGCTTGAATCAGATTGCAAAGACCAGATTTTTGAGTGTTTTTTTATTTACTTCATTAAAAGCCATTAAACCAATAAAATATTAGTATTACTTGTGAACATTAAGTCATGTTTATGGCAGCTACAAGGACAGTACCAAAAAATTAGTTAATATAAACTCGCTATTGGTTATAATTCTCTCTTACGGTTATAACCCAGCTATTCCTATTGCTTAGTATTCTCAGACACAGATTCACTCGACAAGTCCCCAAATCAGAACACGGTTGAACAGGAAAGCGATTATATTCCAAATAACAAGGTTAGATGGAAGTAAGAAGCACAATAGGAAAGACGTTAGTATATTTATAGTTTTTACACGAGATTTCTAGTGTTCATTAAGTGTCGGCTCGCGTTGATTGGATAGGAATTAGCCAATCAGCGTGCACCAAAGCAATCGTGCATTGAGCATGCTTTAATCCGATCTATGTCCCGCTAACACTATTACAGTAAAAGCCGAGCGTCTAACTCTTATGTATTCTTATCTTTTATAATCTTCAAACGAATTACGTGTTCATAGTATACTGAAGTCTGATGAAAACGCTGACGAAATCCAGTTTTCCGACCGCCTTAAGCAACATTCCAGGAAAGTTTCGGATACGATTTTCTCCCTCCAAATGCAAACTATTGCTTCAGGACTGCCCTGTGCCTTAATGATAGGGAGTGAAGTAGTTAGGCACGTCAACCGCCTCACTTACCTTGAACGTCCACTAGCTCTAGTGAGTTGCTGTTTGATGAAATTACGGGATGGATTCAAAAAGCTTGGTTGGTCTTTGACAACTTACGTCTCTTGTAGAGTAGGCGAGATATCCGTCTGCCGACAAAAGGATGAGTTTAATGAGCAACATTTAGCAATGATCTATTTTACAGGTGTGAAACATGGTCATGGAATAGAGGATATTCGTAGATTACTATTATTGGATGACAAGAGCCTTTGAGATATAACCCTAATACTTTGAGACCACAGAGTGAGCAATGCTGAGGTTAGGAATAGGGCACTTGGCAAAGATGACATATTGGTTGATGAGATTGTTGGTCTTCATCAACTGGTGATTAGAACACTTACTATGTATGCCTAACCACTACCTATCTTGACGAATGACGCTCGCTGGTGCAGTAGGTTGGAAGAACGCTAAAGGCGATTAAACCAAGACGTGGCACCAGGCTACAAACTCACTGGAAACTGGGCTGAACCATGTAGACAAGTGTAGATACTCTGGTTGAGGGTCCGCACAACTATATTGACAAGTGGATAGACTTTTCGTGACATGGATCAGAATTGTTCAAAATGACGTAGGTGCATTCACATCTTGTCTTTCCTGATAACCTTAGTTCCATAATCTGCTCATACTTTTCTGTTTTTTTAATACTTAATCTTTCATACTACTACTGGTGCTGCTTCTACTTTACTAATCCGGAATTCGACTTAAATTTATCTCCATGTGTTGTAGTACAGCAACTTGGACTAAACATGTCAGATTCAATATTATACACGACTGACAGTGATACAAGGATTAAAATATTGAAAACAAACATTTAAATACGAAAAAAGCGTAAATAAATGTTAGCTTATTTCCAAGTGATATTTATAATGATTCTTTTCCGAGTGTTATTACTTCCGATGGTTGCTATTTTTTTCGCAAACTACTGCGACAAAATCTGACCATATTTAGTCCAAATTTGATGCAGTTTCAACTTTGATGCACGGTATACTAATAATGTAGTTCCGCACAATAGAGTTGGATCTATTTACCTTATTTTACTCTATGCTAGCTCCACTTAGTCGATTTTCTAAGCGGAGTGTTTCGACACAAACAAACGATATCTAAACATTTGGAGATTTGGTTTTGCCATAATACAACCACATTTCTGATATTATTGTGTAGTAAAAACGTATCTGGCTCAGTTTTGTGTAGTGGTGATCCGTTCACCTGGTCAATACTTTAGATAAATTAGTGAAAAACTTTCATTACATTTTCTTACATTTTTTTCTTAGGCAACTTTACTACGAATGAATAGTTAAGGAAGCCAGATTACTGTATACCCCAAACTCGGGACTCGATTTGAGAGCAAACATTTGAATAATGCAGAAAGACGAACCGGAGAGTACGAATCGATCACTTTATAGCAGTGAACAAACTTTCAAGGAAGTGAAATCAAGGAGGCAAAATTGAGAGGAAGGGGATGGTCGGTATCACATATTATTTTAATTCTGAAATAAAAACACCATTCTTTTAAATAACACTTTGCATTTTAAAAACAAACAGTGGGTGAAGTTTTTTCACACTCCGGGCCTTTTTCAAAGCACTAATCATAGTTTTGAAAATGATGCATGAACCCCAGGACAAATAGATTTGCATTTTGACGTGTATAGTCTCCATCGTTTGTAGTTTATCTAGATTCGACTATTATGCCAAAAAAACTGATAGTCTTAGTCACTATGATAGAAAGCTACGACTGCATATTTCCGCGAGCTACACTCCTTGAGCCTATAAACCGGATTTTCGACACGTAATAGTTGAGTCTCTTAATAAATTACCTTAAATTTACAACTTGTGCTAGTTTCCTGTAAATAACCTGCCTTTTATCCATGATCTACACAAGTGAATGGCTATCTTGCACTATCTGGCTCATAAAAACAAGTTTCAAGCCTAATCTATTTTGGTGTGAGCGGTTAACATCATCGACCCTCATATGGTGGTCTTGAGCAGCGTTAGAAAACTCGTACTTCGAGAGGTACATTATTGAGTAAACTACCAAGCCACGAGTATGAAGTGATCTAAAATATAACGCTGGTGAACACTGCACCAGTGTATCATGTCAAAGATCAATCAAAATACGATAAACACAAACTCACTGACTGTACTACTGAGCGTTCTTTGCTTACGAACATCAGCCAATCTTTTTCTAAAGAATTTGTATTCATTAGTCTCTGGAAGCGTCAGGAACCTAGGAGGACACGAATTAGGATCAAGAAAACTAACGTACCAATACTGTATGCTATCCTCAAACTTCTTTATTTCTGCCTCGCAAAGACTATGGGACATACCAGAAACACGTAGGACCAACGATTCGATTGCCACCAAAACCTTTGAATCATCGGGAATAACTGGAAATATGGCACTTAGAATTCCATTCATAGAATAGAGAGATAAAAATTTCACACAAAGCAACTACCTGTTTCACTCTCCGTTTTGCATTGTTTGCTAAAACAAATAGTTTACTGGTGTATTATAAGCTACCTGTCAAATTCATCCGTATTTTCTACCTTTACTACCTAAACAGAAAAATGGACATAAAATATGAAGCTACATTCGGAATAACAGGCTTCTCAATAGATACTCTTTCTTGTTCAGCTAGAGGAATAAGACATAAATGTTTAGTAATTACCTTGCATTTGCTTGAACAATTCCATAAAACTCCCATCATTCTTGAATGGTATCTTCGACATTTCCATGTAACGCCTAATTTCTAATTAAGTCGTAAATGCAATCGACTCATCAAAACAAACCGGAACAATTGTTGTGGTCAAAGTAACAGAAGCTTTCACTTCAAATGGTTCAAACAGTTGTTTCTACAACCGACTTCGTAGAACAAATAGACAAATTTCAGTTTCACCTTCAGATCGTCTGTATTTTCTTCACCTTCTATTCAAACTTTCGGGATATATCTTAATATCTGATGGCTCACCGACGTATCAGGTCGTCAGAGTAGATGATGACTAGTTAACCCAGCTATTTCTGAAGATCAGTGAAAATAAAAGGAAAATGAAGAGAGGGAAATTGGTTAATTAGGAGAATTTTGCGTTTCCAGATATTTTCAATACTGATGGATTCATTCTACCAGATTAACTGAACCGACCCAGTATATTTGACTCGCTGCAATGTCGGTGTCTAATCCATGTGACTTCACGTCGAAGTCACACCACTTTTATCCTGAATTATGCCGTGATATTTAGGGTGCGCTGCTTCTAGTAAAAAATGCACTCTTACGGACAGAATAATATGCTTAGTATGTGGACGAAAGTGATACATAGAGATGCCACTCTAGCTTTTCTGAGCCTCATCGTCTCAATTATGTTCCTGAGTTGGTCTTTACTGACTGTCGCTAATTCACATCCTCATTCCGTGCACAACAATGAATCTTATGGCATGAAGCTGTCCTACCTACCTATAAAAATCGTGCAGCAATGAAAGAATATGTGCAACTTTTTTCCTGTGCAGGACATGGTAGTAAATTCCGAGTTCTAGTCATTCTAGTGTGATCAAACTAGTCTATTTTCCGAACATGTAAGTGTTACAAATAATTATCAGGGTTATACATAATGTTGTTGTTCACTGTGGGGTCACATCTGAACCTTCCATATGTTGATTGTCTGGTAAGTTGATAATTGAGTCCAGACACGTTTTAGTACGCCTTAAAGTGCATCTTCAAGCGCGACTGATCATCTTAGAATTCCACACGCTACAACACACCAACCTTTGGTCCAAATATAATTTTCCCACGATCCAACTCCACTTGTAGACCCTCTCGGGTTGTTGCCAGTCTCAATCCCGGATAATGGGGGGAGGGCTGGGCATGGGATTAACAACCCTACCCCATAAAAACAATTAGCTAAAGAACGCTAAACTAAAAACCGTTTGGGCCAGTTGAACTCTGCCCTGAGTGTTGAAGGACATTCACTTAGAAGAGTTATAACGCCCAATGGTAAAGGTCGAGATTCCATGGGAGTCACGAGGCCACTTACCCCCTCTAACAGCAAACGTAACAACTAACATAGGCATATAGAATGTTCTCACAATGCAGGAAACTAGGCGGACCAATCAAGTAGCTACGAAAGTAAGTAGATGCATCCTGGCGGTACTCAGAATGGTGAGACCATAATTTATACACGAACCAATTGGATTTGACATCGCAGATCATGGATTTTGGCGCGATATTTATTCACTTATTTGGTTAAGTATCACATTGGCACTATGGCTGATAACAGTGCGTGATGAAAACATTAAATCTTATCATTAAACCTAACTTTCAACCGTAAATCCTAATCCTAATTCCTCACACTAATCTGTAACCCTCATTTAACCCTAATAAGTAGGTGGACATTCCATAGTCATTTTAGCGCCGCTCATAGGTCGTCCACAAATTATAGCTTCACCTTCGGAGTAAATCAAACCCATTGCATATAAACTGGACAGAAAATATTTGCTTCGGTGGAAGTGAGAAAATCACTAGGATTCAGGAACGGCGGAACAGGTGGGCAGAGCACTTTGAAGAACTCTTGAATAGACCAGCCTCACTGTGCCCACCAAACATCGAGGCAGCACACATGTGCCTTCCCGTAGCTCTTACCTCACCGACAATCGACGAAATAAGCATGTCCACCAGACAAATCAAGAATGAGAAGACAGCAGGAACAGACAACATAGCAACTGAAGCACTGAAGTAAGGCATATGGGTAACTGCAAAGATGCTCCACATTTTACTCTGAAGGGTTTAGGGAGAAAAACAAGTGCCGACAGACTAGAAAGAAAGGCGATCTCGGCAAGGATGAGAACTACAGAGGCACCATACTACGATCAGCAGTGTTGTTGAACGGAATGGAGGATCCAGTTAATGCCCAACTCCAAGATAACAGTCTGGATTCCGTAAGGCTCGATCATGTGCCAAGCAAATCACGACACTACGGATGATTTCTGAAAAATCCATTGAATAGAGTTCATCACTATAAATGGACTCCCCTAACCTTGGGAAAACATCTGACAGAGTGGATAGAAGAACTTTGAGGAACTTTCTTTGACACTATGGTGTGTCTGAGAAGATCATCAACATCGTACGGATTTCATACGGCAGACTACATTGCAGAGTCGTGCACAGGGACAACCCATAGGTGCTTTCCAAGTGAAGACCGGTGCTAGACGAGGCTTATCACCCTCGTCTTTTATCTCCCTTCCAGTGGTTGATTGGATTGTAAAGATCTCCAAATCTCAGGCGGAGCACATAATACAATGGATATCTTGGATGTAGCTGGATGACTCGGACTATATGGATGACCAACTCTCCTGTGTGTATCGTTTGCAAAACGTAAATTATTAGTTTGCTTTTTATTATTCATCTTCCCGTTGATATTCAAATAAATCCTGTCCATTATCTGTTCTTCTGCTTATTTAGCCAGTGATTCTGATTGAATTTTTCAAAGAAGTCTTAATATTCTTTGGCCGTTAGTAACCTCGCGGTACTCTTGATCTGCATTATTATCAAATAATGCTATCGCATTTATGCTTCCCTCCACACCGTCATTACCAATCATGCAGAGGAACCTTTGTAATTCGAGCGAATTCTGTTTGTGGTTGTAATCTAGAGAGAAGCTTACATGTACCCTTCATTTCATCATAATTACCACTTTTGTTATTTAATATGCCATTTTATTGAAAGTGCTTTTAGTCACTTTTTTATTCATTGACAGTCATTTCGGTTTATAATATTATTATTTTTTGTTATTCGGTTGGTAAATGTGCACACTGTTGCATCTTGAATAAGTTACATAACTGGGGTCCACTACAAACGTAATGCAGAGTGAATGTAAGTTGGTGGAATTTTACGCCAAACCATCAAAGTCCTGAAGGATAAGGAAACATATCTTACCATAGATGTTGTTATATGGAAGTTGGGTAGACAGAGATCCATTGTTAACAAGTGGTGTTGATAATCTTAGCGAATCATTAAAAACATGTTATTCTCTGATGTCCCTAAAATGCGAATTAGATAATGCGTATTGCCGCTAAAATATCCCCAAGCCTTTTTGTCACAAACATCAAAGAGCCGTTTGTCTTTTGCTGGTGATATTTTAAATTTCCACTTGACACACGTACACTTACTTATTTACTTACTTACTTAATTACTTACTTACTTACTTACACCTGTTACACCTCGTGAAGGAGCATAGGCCGCTCACCAGCATTCTCCATCCAACCCTGTCCTGGGCAATCCTTTCAAGCTCTTTCCAATTCTTATTCATCCCTTTCATATCCGCTTCTATTTCCCGACGTAATGTGTTCTTTGGCCTTCCTCTTTCCCTCTTCCCTTCAGGATTCCAAGTTAGCGCTTGTCTCGTAATACAGTTTGATGATTTCCTCAATGTATGTTCTATCCATTTCCATCGTCTTTTCCTAATTTCCTCTTCCGCTGGAAGCTGGTTGGTTCTCTCCCACAAAAGGCTGTTGCTGATGGTATCCGGCCAATGAATGTTGAGCTATTGATAAATACCTGTACCTTCTTGATGATGGTTGTTGTAGTTCTCCAAGTTTCAGCTCCGTACAGTAGAACTGCCTTGACGTTCGTACTGAAGATTCTGACTTTGATGTTGGTTGAAAGTTGTTTTGAGTTCCATATGTTCTTCGATTGAAAAAATGCTGTCCTTGCCTTGCCAATCCTCGCCTTTACCTCTGCATCTGAACCTCCTTGTTTATCGACGATGCTTCCCAGGTATGTGAAGGATTCCACATCTTCCAGAGTTTCGCCATCAACAGTGATAGGACTGCTGTTCTCTGTGTTGTGTTTGAGGACTTTGGTTTTCCCTTTGTGTATTTTGAGGTCTACTGATGCAGATACTGCTGCTATGCTGGCTGTCTTTATCTACATTTGTTCGTGTGTATGCGATAGGAGGGCTATGTCATCTGAGAAGTCCAAATCGTCTAAATGTCCATTGTATGTCATGTTCTCCCTCAGATGTCGAGGTCTTCATGATCTAGTCGGCCACCAGAAGAGAGACAAAAAATGGAGCTTATTACAAAATGGGTTTATTCATTGTTCTGCAGGTTCAGCTTACGTAAGGCTTGTTCCTCTCCTTCTAGTACGTTGACATTTTGTTGCCCTTCAATAAGGAAAACAAATTCACATTAGTAACGTAGCATTTATTGATTTTTAATACCGTTACACTACCCCATCTCTCCATGAGGCACTGTCCTCAGTGCCTGGTGCTGGACATGTGTATGCTACCCCTCCTTCTGGTGGCAATTCATAATAGCTGACGGCAGTCGGAGGATTGACAAACGGGGTATCTGTGTGTAATGTTGTTCTGCCTGGCTTCAATTGGTTGTAGTGTGCCGTTATAACATCGTATGGGGCCGTTGGAGGTTACGTAGAACGAATGTAGTGGGAGACAGAGTTAACACAACTTCATAAGGTCCTTGCCAAGGTTGATGGAACTTGTCGCATGTCCCTGGTGGGGCCAAAGGGTGGTGCAGCCAAACATAGTCCACGGGTTTATAGACGGGCCCGTTAGCCTTGCCGTCGTACACATCTTTTTGGTGTTTGCTAGCATTTTGTAGGTTGATCTTAACTAGGCGAAACGCGTCTGCTAGAAGGCTGCGAAGGTTGCGGATGTATAATACATGATCCTGAGCATCGCATGGTAACAACGGTATTTGTAGCTCAACAGGTAGGCACAATTCGTGTCCAAAGAGTAATGTCGCAGGTGAAAATCCCATGGATCCGTG